CAAAGCAGGTCCCAAAAGAAAGAGCCCAGAAGCACTGTGGATGGCCAAAGTACGCGCCAGTTGGGATTGGTGCCTTATCCCAATTCTGATAGGGCTTCATCCATCCCCAATCGTGTAGGAATCTATTCAGCCACCGCATAACACGAAAACAGAAGAAACAAACAAACAACGCAATACTGTAAATTAAGATAGAGCCTGAAAAGAGGCCCCAAGACGAGATTCCTCTAAACCCAATGTATTTTTGGGTTCCATAGAATTAACAAGCAGGGAAGTACGCTTTTCTGATTGACACTCCCTATGCGTCAAAGTGACATGTAAAGCAACTTTTGGACATGCGGGCTTTCACCCTCCATCCCCTCCACATTCAAAATCGAAGAAAAGAACCAGCGCATGTTGCTTTTCTTCACGCGGTTGCTTGAAAGCTACCTCTTTTTTTTGGGTCCAAGTCCACTCTTGCGCTATCGCCTGCGGGTGGTGGACTAGGGCCAGGAGACAAATGTGGAGCCCCAGGAAAGGCTCCAGGAAACCTTCGATCAGAAGGGGCTCGAGTTTCCTCCCGAAATCGGCCACTTTTGGGCGAGATCCTTGGGAAAAATCCCCATCAAAGTGGCAAGTCATGGGCATGGGAATTCCACTGCATCACGTTTTTCCACAGCCATTATCCATGTTGATCAGGGAAGCCACAAGGAAAACCACAATATTGGTGGGTACAGCGAATTGTGCCCAGGTGGTTCACTTTAGTTACTGCGACTATTGGATGGCCCATGGCTTTTGGCATTGGGTGTCTTTTTGAAGGCACCCCTTTTTTGGCTGAAAGGACAACCAAAGGGCACCCCAAGAGTTTCTTTTGGGGGTCCCCGACTTTGTGACTCAAGCCAGGTTTGTCTCGTGGGTTTCCCCTTCATTGGGTTCATATGCAGGTGACCGGCCTCAAGGCGCTGCGCGGTGGTCGCGGCGCCTTGGTAGCCATTGGTTTCGTCGCCGCTGGGTTTCTGGGTGAATTTTGAAGCTCGGGGTTTCCTCGGCTGCATCTTGGGAGTGTGTTTTTTGGAGTTGGTATTTGTTTGTTGGTATTTGTTTGGGGGTTCTCAAATCAAACCAATCGGAAAACCAGCCTTTTCTTTTCTCTTCTTTCTTGTTTTTTTTGTTGGGGGGACGACGCCAACAGTTTCATTGGGGGTCCTCTAGTTGACATTTGTTTTGGGGCAGTGCCTAAGAGTAAACATTTGGAGAGGTTTTCCAATTGCCCTTGACACCGCCCATTTGGAAGGTGATTCTCAGGATGTCACTTCGCTCAAGGCAGAGAGGCAAGTGTCAATTCTGGTCCTATTCTGGCAATGTATTAGGGGGCATATAGCCTTGCCTCACTGGAAGTCCCCTTGATTTGCTGCAAACAAAAGGCATCTCAACAAGGTGCGCTCCAAAGCAAGACCATCGTTTTTCAATGGGTTTATGTTCTTTGCATATTTGATTTGATACAGATTAGATGTCACTTTCAGTTTAGTTCAAACCGTTTCGAACAGACACCCAAATTTTGGCCGCACTCGGCCGGCCTCAAGGGAACCCGGGCAGCCACACACCGAAGGGGATGGATTCATGGGAGTTCCTCTTCTCGGATTTCATTGAAAGGGCACAAAAAAAGACACAGCAACTTAATGGACCCCGATTTTCAGAAACCAGAGTGCCAGAGGGTCAAGTAAAACCAAACAGCGTAAACATGCCCAATGTTGCCCCCCTACATTTCCCACAGGGTTAAGATTGTGACCTCAAGCTGAGGCGGCCGCGGTCGGGGTCGGCGATGAGAGAACCGTCAAAAGTTCGGCCGCGAGCGATGGTTGCGCCTCGTTTTTGGGCATCCATCTGGAAGTTTGCCAAACACTCGCCAAGAACAAAGGATTCCCGGTGCTGGTTCTTTTAAACGTCGATTTGCGGAAACAGAGTACTGCTCCAGTTCTGGTCCGCACTTCTCTTCCAGCGTTGTCCGCCTTTATGGCTGAGTCTCTCCAACCGGACAGGCCGACAAGATGCGTTGTTGTTGACTCGGCTCCAAGGAATGCTTCCAGGATCCAAGAGCGTGGTTTGGGAGCAGTGCTCAGTTGTCCCTTTGTTGTTTTACGCAGCGGGTGGGCGCGCGGGCAAGCGGGTGGGCGGGCGTGATCGGGTGTGTTTGTGTGTGTGATGTGTGCATGTGTGTGCATGTGTGTGAGTGTGTGTGAGTGTGTGTGTGTGTGTCTGTGTGTCTGTGTGTCTGTGTGTCTGTGTGTCTGTGTGTCTGTGTGTCTGTGTGTCTGTGTGTCTGTGTGTCTGTGTGTCTGTGTGTCTGTGTGTCTGTGTGTGTGTGTGCGTGTGCGTGCGTGCGTGTGTGCGTGCGTGCGTGCGTGCGTGCGTGCGTGTGTGTGTGTGTGTGTGTGTGTGTGTGTGTGTGTGTGTGTGTGTGTGTGTTTGCACGATTTTGTGGGGTACATATTATCTAAGGTTTTTGCAGTGTGAGTGTGTGTTTGCTTTGCGTGTTGTGTTGTGCTGTGCTGTGCTGTGCTGTGTTGTGTTATGGTGTGGTCTGGTCTGGTCTGGTCTGGTCTGGTGTGTGACGTTGTGTTGTGTTGTGGTGTGGTGTGTGTGTGTTGCGTGTGTGTGTGTGTGTGTTGTGTGTGTGTGTTGTTTGTGTTGTGTGTGTGTGTTGTGTGTGTGTGTTGTGTGTGTGTTGTGTGTGTGTTGTTTGTGTTGTGTGTGTGTGTTGTGTGTTGTGTGTATGCGTTGCGTGTTGTCTTTTGTCTGTTGTCTGTTGCATTTGTGGGCATTGTGTTATGTTGTGTTGTGTTGCATTGTGTTGCGTGTTGCGTGTTGGGCGTTGGATGTTGGGTTTAAGTGTTGTGTTGCGATGTGCCGTGTGGTGGTTTTGAACGCGTGTGCAGGTGTGCTGGCGCCCCATGTGCCAGTAAAGTCTTTGCGTCGATGTGCGATCATTTCGATCAACTTCGCAAGTCTTACCCATCCTGCGGAGGAAGCAACCGACCAGACACCCGAATTCGGTTTGGATCTCGCTGCAGCCATTGGTTCAACCATGCGCCATTGGTTCCTGCTCCTCACCGCCTGCGCGGCGGTCAACGAAGATCCGGGGCCGTCGCAGGCGGCGGGGGACGGGGGGATGGGGGATGGCGGGGATCGATCAGAAGTGAACACAAGTCATAGCGCAGCTCAAGTTCCAGAGTCTCCAGAACTCGAGCTTTTTTGGCAGGGAAACTGGGAACTTGCAGGAAGATGTTGAAAGCAGCCAAAAGTGAGAAGTCGTTTCAGTCCCGGTCGTGGTGGGAGTTCCCGCAAAGCAAGTCGCGCGAAAAAACAACGCACTTGTTCAAAGACGACTTTGTGACTTTTCAGCTCTTCTCTTGACTTGGTCTACTTTAAGTAATGGCTCCGAAAGGTTGCCAACCCAAAACGCGATATAACCTCAAGGGCCTTTCCCTGCCAGACCACTTTCCTCGAATTGCAGGTGTCTTTTTTTGTTCCGACGGGATATCATGTCATGTCCTTTGGGCAAATGAGACACGAAAAAAAAATCGCTCGAGCGCTCGATCGCTGCGTGAGGTGCTGGTGTCGCTGGGCCGGGGTGACTGCTCACGGCTACTGCTGGAGACTTATGGGGCACTGCAAGGCGCCGGCTGCTCGTGTCGCCGTGCACCTCTCTGTTGGTGGAATTCCGAATGGGATTCCACCGAACGTGGTGAACCAATGCCCACCCCAGGGGGAGGGGGGGGTGACTCTGGAATTCCGTTTGTACTTCCGCTTTCCCTTTTCTGGGAAATATTAAATGAATGGAATTGGGGGGACCCCCACAATCCTCCCCCTTAGTGGGTGAGCTCACATAAAGGTCCTTCACCTGAATCACCTTTCATGTCACTCTCACTGGCCATGGATAATAGAGGCCAGAGGTGCTGGACTTTCTGTTTTTTGGGAAGGCTATCTTGTTGGTAAGCAATGAGCGCGGGCTTTTCGGTCCAGTGACTCCCAAAAAGGCGCCCCCTTTGCCAGTCACCTTTTTTTTGTTCTTTTAATTCCATGTACCGCGGGTCTACCTTCGGAAGGCAGATCGAGATGCGTGGACCCACGGACTCCTTTCTGCCTACACAGGAAGCGGAAAGGGATCCATGCACAAGGAAGCCATCCCTTTTTCGACCCGAAGAATCCATCGCCCTTCCCTTAGAACCCTTTTGGGTTGCTCTTTTCTGCAGTTGGTTTTCAACTATGGTCTAAGTCAGTCGAATCTATTGACCTCTTCGCCGTTCTAAGGCTACTTGAAGTCTAGCGTCTCACTCCGCAAAACCATTCGCATGGCTGGTGACTAAAACAGTGACCAGGCGGGCGCATTTCCCGTGGCTCGATTCTCCGCTAGTGGCGTATACGTTGGAGGGAGACATCGCCAGGAAATGAAGGAAGACCCCAACACAACAGCCCCTCCATGAAGCAAACAGCCCTCGCTTCTTGTTGAGGGTACATGGAAAACCAGCCTTTAGCCTCCAAATCACCAGTCGAAACCACCGATCAGGAAGCTGAATGCAGCAAACTTTTTTTGTGGAAGCCCAAGGGACCTGCCAACATGGGGGTGGCTTAGAAGAGAAACCAAGGAAAAACCAACCATCTTGCGGTTCTGTGCGAAACACTCGAACCAACACCCCCCCCAAATAGACCGCCCTCAAACATGTTTGGTGCACATAAAGCACAGATCTATGTAAATGAAGTCCCCCAAAGTGCCCATGACAAATCAACGCTCCGCAGGATGGGAGCCGCGCCCTGGTCTCTTCCGACACGCCTGCCTGGGCATGGCCCCGCGACAGACACGCCGCCCGCGAGAGACGAGGGACGGCGCGACCACTGCCCGACCTTTCGGCCATTTTTCCCGGTTGGTCCGATTTTTGCTCGGTCCCAAGAGGTTGACCTTTGTAGATCCCTGGGGCAAGTGAGTTTCCTATATTTTTGGAGTGCTTTTGATTTTAAGAGCGCCGATCCTTTTTTCCCATGGAAATCCACTGGGGCAGTGGCCATGAGGTTTAAGAGCTGGAACCTTTGATTGCGTAAAACTTTTAGGGGTTGTCCATCTCTGCTACCCCAAATGGCTTGGAATTCTCAGCGGGGGGCGGGAGGGGGGGAGAAAGGCCAGGTTATGTTGTACCAAGGGAATGATGTTGAAGTGTTTGTGGGTGTGTGACAATTAGGGCTTTGGATTCATATAAGGTTGGTTCTCCTTTTAGTCCCTTAAAACCCAGGTGACACACTCGCCAAGTGGCATACCCTGTTTTTTTTGTTATTTGTGCGAAAGAGGGGTCTCAATGCGCTTTTCCACGTGGGTGGGAGGGCATTGGGTCTCGCAAAGTGTTGCAGTTGGAGGGCGGGTTCGGGTGGCGTCCCGTTGACCCACTTTTTGGAGGGTCATGTTGAGGCTCTTGAACGAGTGCAGCTCAAGGGCATTTGCAAGTGGCAATCGTGGAAGGCAGGCAAAGGGAAACGAAAAGGATGGCGGCCATTTGGAAGGGGCTTCCATGTTTTCTCCCTCGATTTTCCTTTTCAGCCCCGTAACATCACCTTTTGGCTGCTAGATGAGTTTCCTCCTGGGCCACGTTTAAGGGAACAATCTAGGTAGCCCTGTTTGAGGGTTCTCGGTTCAAAGGGCAGCCAAAAGGAAGATCCGATATCTTGGTAGGGCCTGAAGATTGTGAAACGATTGGGGAACCCTTCATATGTTTGGTTCATTTTGGTTGGGAGGCTACTTTCTTAGGTTGACTTAAAGGGAAGCCAAAAGGACCCCCCCTTTGCTGGGTTCCTCGCACCTGCAACAACACATGTTGCACTCAGGCAAAGCAGCTGAAGCTGGGGGAAGCTGCGGCCATGAATGAGGCGGAGCTGCGTTTTGTTTTGGGGCGATCCGGTTGGAGGCTTCGATGACTGCAGCAGGCAACCAGACAACCAAGGGGCGTTCCAGCATGAAAATGTTCAACTTGCTTCCCAGCCAAAAAACAAAGTCGAACAGGCGATTGATGATTGCCGGCTGGAATCCTTCCTTACAAAGAGTCACGCGCTGGCAGCTGTTTGGGTCTTGAAATCTCCGAGGCTCAGGACTTTTGAGGGAATTGAGGGAAGGAGGAGAACCGTCATGCCAAGTACCGGCGGCTCGTCTTTTTTTGAGGGTACCCGTTTTGGGATGGTGGTACAAAGGGAAACCACAAGGAAAACCATGAATTGTTAAGTTCCGCTATTTTGAGACGCATACCCATATAAGAGCAACTTACCAAATTGCTCATAGTCTATGGCTAGTTTGGCTCTTCCACATGGAACCTGGCAGAGGGTCCCCTTGGAATCAGCGCTAAATTGCACATGATGCTTAATTTCCCCTACGAGACCAGGGGACATTGACATGTTTATTTGTTTCTAGACCCCCCCCATTTGGCACCCAATGTTCAATTGGTCATTGAACATACGTAGACTTGAACATTTAACATAGACTCACCCACCCACCCACCCAACTACTCGCCCGGCCGCCCGCCCGCCCACCCACCCACCCACCCACCCACCCACCCACCCACCCATCCAAGCACCCCTGCTGAGCATTCGGCCCCCCATTTTTGTTGGCTCCCCTTCCCCAGTCACCACTATAGTAGGTACCCAGGGAAAACCATCACGCAAACGCCAGGCCAAGCTACTTGCCTTTCTCCGGTGGCAACTGGAAGCCCCTTCCGCTGGCCCCCGACGGCCACTCGGCCCCGCTCGGACCCGCCGAGACCTGCGGGCGCCTGGCGGCCAACGCGGTCCGGGCGCGGCGCTCCGGGAAGCTCCCGAGCCTCAACCAGCTGCAGGCGGGGCGGAAAACAACGGAGCCTTCGAGTTGATTGGGGTTCGTGGGGCCGGTCGGGCCGGGGGATGGGGGGAGGGGGGAGGGGGGGGAATGGGGGGTTCTCCAAGTTTGTTGAGAAAGAAGATTTAAGTTGTTTTTGTTCCTGGTGTTCAAGCGAATCTGTCGCTGGAAATATGCGACTTTCTTTCCCGGGTGACTTGAGGAAATGGAGGAGACAAATAGTTATGTGTCTTCCGAACAACCAGTTGGCTTCCCTCGGAAACGTGAAACATGCAAACCCCTCAGATGCCAAATGGGAACCTTCTCACAATATGGGTCCCCATTCTGAGAGACCCACATGTCTCTGCCACATTTATGGCGAGCATGCCTTGTCAGCCCCGAAGCTTCTTTTTTTGTTTTTTGAAATTTTGAGGGGACCTGGACCCAAAAATGGTCGGTTTCCTTTTGGCGCCCTTGGGTTATTGGGCTCCAGTCCGTTTTTGCATTTTCAGAATGCCGTGGGTTCAACTCACTGGGGTCATAGCCACGGCAATGTTTGGAATTCAATAGCAGCATAGCCATGGATATTTGGGCAACCCCAAGCTCAGTTGGAACTATCTATGGCTGTTTTGCCTCACAAACTCACCCCCCAAGTGGCAGGTTGAAGGGACACAACCCCCATTGTATGAAACTGAATAGCACCTAGAAACGGAATCAACATAACCCCAAGCTCTTACTTAGCACCCTACGGACTGGCCATAGCTTTTGCAGCGTGCGTTCCGGAGGAGAGCCGCGCGGAATCTGGAACGATGCGTTATTTCCGACTTACCCTCCCAAGCAGGAACCTGACAGGAGGTGTTGCTGTGAATGGTGCAGGACTGTCCAGATTACCTTTAGAGTTTAGTGGTGCTTTGGGGCTCAAAGAGCCCTCAACTGGGTTGCTTCGTTTTTCATTTTTTTTGGACCCCAAAAACCCTCGGTCGAACGTCCGGCTGTTATTTTGCCACCGATTAACATGGAACCTGACGTTCCGAGGACTCCGGGTTTGGACCCATGTCCTTTTCAACGGACCGGGTCCCGAACGTCAGGTTCCATCTCAACATTGACCCCAGATTGATCAACCCCAGTTCATTAACATGGGGGTGTTCCCCTCCAAAAGTGATTTTGCTTCCCCTACTACACCCAGGGACGCCCCCTATGAATGAATAGTTCATCACTCCGCGGTCACCATTAATCGGTGGGGCATTTGGTGAGTGGCTGCAGGAGCTCTGGTGCCGCCCTCCAGACCTCACCATGGCGCAACGTGTGGAGCCGCTCATCAGCGCCCTGCGCAACGCGCCCCGTCTCGGAAGACACGGGGGTCTCCTTGTGAGATGTCGCCCTGTTTGGGGTTGGGAAAGGGAAGCCGAAGGAACCCCCACGAAGTTTTGGAGACCCTCCCTTCTTGACCGAATGCTCAGTTGTTTGTTCGTTTGCTTTCTTTCCCATTGGCACCATCTCCCCACGGCAACCGTGCTGGATTCTGCATGTTGGACTTTAGCTGCGCTGGTTGCCACCGGAGCAGCGGAGTGAATCGCCCGGCATTCGCGTGTTTGTCAAGGATTCGGAAAGGGTTGGGCAATGTCTACATTCATTGTAAACCCCCTCTCTTGCAACCCACCAGAAGGACTCATTTCTGATTTGATTTCCGCAAAGTAAATACCAACAAACCTTATGGTTACCATGGAAACCTCCTGCGACAATTCTGCCACCACACGTCGTTCCCCGCACTCGGCTCACTGGACGTCTCTCGTCGCTCAGGCCACAGGCTCCAGCGCCGCGGCGCTGAACCGCTGGTGGCAGCAGCGCCAAGAACTGGCGCGCAGCGCCGGCAACGGCAGCCTGTTGGAGGCGGCAACCGTTTGGCGGCGCAGAGGGAGTCTCAGCGTTGTTGTTTTTTGTTTTTCAGCGGCGGAAATGTTAAGCGTTGTTTTTTCAGCAGCGGACATGTCAAGCGGCGTGTTTTTTTTTGTTTTCCCTCAGCAGCAGAAATGTTCAGCGGCTGCATTTTTTGGTGTTTGTTTTTTAAGAAATTGGCTGGGTATGTTAGAGGTGGTGTGTAATCATCGGCCGCTTTTGTTTTCCGCTATCTTGGATCTGTGCTGCTGTAGTTTTCCTTTTTAGAGCAGACATTTCAAGCGCCTCAACTCAGGCAAATGTATGGGAAGCGCCTCAACTCAGGCAAATGTATTGGTGTGCATGTGTGTGTGTGTGTGTGGGTGTGTGTGCGTGTGTGTATGTGTGTGTGTGTGTGTGTGTGCGCGTGTGCGCGTGTGGGCGTGTGGGCGTGTGGGCGTGTGGGCGTGTGGGCGTGTGGGCGTGTGGGCGTGTGGGCGAGTGTGCGTGTGTGCGTGCGCGTGCGCGTGCGCGTGCGCGTGCGCGTGCGCGTGCGCGTGCGCGTGCGCGTGCGCGTGTGCGCGTGCGCGTGCGCGTGCGCGTGCGCGTGCGCGTGTGCGTGTGCGTGTGCGTGTGTGTGTGTGTGTGTGTGTGTGTGTGTGTGTGTGTGTGTGTGTGTGTGTGTGTGTGTGTCAACATCGGGATATCGTGGTTTTCCCTGTGGTTTCCAGCTCACTTCCTGGGTTCCTGGACCTTGTGCGCTTTTGAGGCTTGGGCTTGGGCCATTTGTAGAAGCAAAACACAAGGTGTGGGAGCTTTTTGGGCAACCCGCTCAGGAAGTGAGGCTTATGGTTTTAGAACTTGAACCTGGCAGCACCCAAACGGACCCCTAGGCTATTGCAGGGTGGGTTTTCCGTTTGGTATCTCTTCAAACCATATTTTTTTTTCTGATTCTATTTTCAATGTTGCTTTAAATGGAAATCAAAAGGACAACCACTATTTTGGGTGGGATCCCTGTATTTTGACAGATACTTACTTGGGCCTGTCTCCCAGGTTGGTTCCATGAAAGTCGGGAATCAGTCATGGGGTATGCGGGCCCCTTTCTCCGCCAGGTTCGACCTTTATCAAAGTCCCAAGCCCTAGAACCATTCTGGTTTTCCACCCCCAGGCCACTGCCCCCAGCGCCTGATCTGCTGCATGTAGTGGGTTTGGGGGAGATATCGGTTTGGGTAGTGGAAACAAGCTTAGACTAATCGCGCTGGCTCAGGTACCCAAGGAATCACACCAGAAAAGGGGACCCTCAAGCTGCGCATCCGAAGGGGGTCAACATCGGCCCTACAACTGCTTGCTTTCCTTTCTTGAGGGGTCCAAAGGTGGTCAAAATGGGCCCCACTGCTGGTTGCTTTCCTTTGACGCTTTCAAAGGGGGTCAGGAACCGCTCGGTTTTTTCCTGCAACTGGTCGGTTTCCTTTGAGGGGTCCAAAGCCTTGGCTCTTTCGGGTTTTTCCCTCGCTTTTTTTCGGGCTTTCCCTTGGTATTTTTCCCGTTTTTTGCCCGGAGACCACCGGAGGTCTCCAGCCGCGCCCTGCCGGGCTCCGGGCTTGCCCTCTTCGCCGCCGACGCCGCGCAGAAGCGCCACGCGCTCGGCCGCGCGCTGCGGGGCGCCGGGCGCGCGGCGCGCCGCGCCCTCGACTTCCTCTGTGCCTTGACTGGATCGTGGAGGGAGTAGGTGTCAAAAACAACAGACCCCCAATGACTCGATCGTGGAGGGAGTAGGTGTCAACAAGAATGAATGGACCCCAAGGAATGATGGATTTGTTTCGTGGCTTTGTTTTGTTTGGGCTTGGGGGTTATTTTGGCTGGGTTTCCTTTGGGTGTGCCATAAGTTGTGGTGTTTTTGTAGAGCCCCGTTTTGGTTGGTACTGGCGTGTGTCAAAAATAGGGACGTGTATACATGGTGCCTTTCCTTTTGGTTTTTCCTGTGGGTGTGCCTCGGTGAGGTTTACGCCAGTAGCGACCTTTGGGGTATGAAAGGGAAGCATGCTCATTCCACCAGGTGAAAGTAGGCACAATTCCCATTTTCGTGGGCAAGCAATCGCGGTGACTAAACCAAAATCCGGGAGCTCTTACCCAACTGCAATCTGCAATGGACCTTTGAGAGGGATGTCTTAGGGTGTCTCTGCCACGAGGGTCCTTCCATTTTAGAATGGTCGCGACTTCCTTGAAATTGTCAGGTGGACATGGTCTTTGGGTTTGCCAGCACCCCACCCCATCATCATCATCATCATCATCATTTCCTCCTCTCCGATAGGCGACGATGCCTGTGGCCTCTCAGAGCCTGCAAAGCTACGGGTCACCTAGGCCGCGAATGGGATGGGACCATTTTGTGCCGAGGCATCAAGAAACGGATGGACAGTGTTCGCCTCCTTGCCCCAACCAAACTTGACAGTTGGGTGCACATATGGGGGTTTCTCAAAGGGGTGGACCGCCTTGCAACCGATTTTAGGGGACCAAGATTTTGAGAACCCCCCTACTAGAACTATGGTCAAGCTGTTGACATGAAATGAACCTTGTCAAGCGACTTTTCAAATGGGCGAATCCCCGCAAAAAAGATGATGGTTTCTAAAGAGCAGGATGGGTGAAGAGAACGAGGAATTGACCCTTAGAATAGTCGCTTGCCAAGATACTTCTGCGTGCGACGTGTGAGAAGGCCGCAAGCTTCTCTTGCCGACCAAGCCATTTTGCCGTGAGGAGTGGGAGCTTGGGGTTTACTTTGGCAGATGAATGGCTGTGGGTCAAAACCAATGGGATCCCATTTTGGGGTAGGTGCACCACCCATTTTTGTCTATTTTAGTGGGGATTGGGATGTTCACTGCGGGGTACGATTTGGATTTTGAGCCATGACCAAATGATCACCCTCCCACGAGCATGAAAGTGTTCTTCTTGGAATGGGAGCCTCCTTTTTTTGTTGGTGGGAGGGTAGCTAACCTAGAGAATCAGGGCTCATAGCAGAGGTTCTTGTATCTGTTTATACATGTAGCCTTGGACCTACAGCGACAGCATGTGCCAGCCGTTGAGTTGCAAAAATGACCCGTTTACTTGCGGCAGGGGATGCTTATCCGCCTCTGAGATTGCGGACAAATGTAAAGGCTTCTAAGGGTGTCTTGTTTTGGGCGGGCCCCTTTTTCTTGGTTTTGAAAAGATACCAAAAGGATACCAACCAGCTTTGAGGTTTCCCTATTTTGAGACAAACCGACACAAGGAGTGTGGACCGGGGCACGTTTGGTTGGCCAAAGCCAGCAGCACACCCCGCCAGGCTGACCATCGTGAGACATCGAGTCGCTGACAGGTATCTAGACACCCAGTGTGTTGCTTTGTCTTCTTCCTTCATTGGGGATCGAACTGGGCCCACCCTGACTGCATTTCTTTCTTGGCACTTGTTGGAGGGGGGTCGTTCCCTTTAAATTCAACCACCACAAAGAGGTCCGATTCTTTTGGCCCATGGAACTCCACTTGTCTGGGGGTAGCTGGCAAGGAATGCGCTCGGACTGGAATCGATGGGGACACGCCAAAATCGCGGGTGCCGAAAACCGGTGCGGATCTCCGACGCCACGGTCGACCCATAGGTGTCCCTTTTCGGTTAGTTTGGATAGAAATAGATGGGTTCCACTGGTTCAGATGGGCTTGATTCCACTTTGCAGGGCCGTTGATTTTGCCAAAATGACACTTATGTGTAGATCCACCTGGGCTCAAAACTAAACTTTAAGCCTTACTCCAGATGGTCATGTTTCCCTGTGGTGTCCAACGGATTACGCATGTTGATCCCGTTTTGTACAAGCACCAAGCAGTTCCAGTGCTTCAGGGCGCTTCCAGCTAAGCGTATTTGGCGTCCAACTCTGTTGGGTGTTTGGGTCGATGTTGAAAGTGGACACTGCAGACTGTTGACAAAGTTCCGTGTCAGAGTGGGCCAGAGGGCATATAAAGAATCCTAACTGAGATCTCGCAAATATGCCTGTCAAAGCACATTCCCGAAAATGTTCCCGTGGATTCCGAAACCTATTTCCAGCAAGAACCATGCCTCCTTTTTCCCATGGTCACCGGAGACCTGTCAGGCATGACGGCTGTCAAGGGATCATACACTCACAAAGCAGAGCTCAAGGGGAAAGGCGAAGCGAGGTCCGAAGTCGCAATCCGTGCGGGTTGGCAAGTTCCCAACCAGGATATGTTGGAAGGATCAACGGCACAGCGGTTTCACGGCAATGCTGCAATGTGCGGGGTGCAATGTTTCTGGGTTGCCTTGTGAGCCTGCAGCTAGAGCCAAGTAGCTGCCTTCCGCGATGTCAAAGAAGGAAGCGGCTCAGGCCCGCCCGAGCGCCTTTTTTTTGTTTTTCTCCGGGGAAGGGGCGGAGAAATAAAAAGAGGGATTCCACACATGAAGGTCCTGCTCCAACATCCAATCACCTGGTGAATTTAATGTGTGCATAACTGACAGGCTAAACGACGGGTCCTCCAAAGAGGCTGGTCGAAATGCCGATGCGCGACGTGAGCATGCTTCCGAATGCTGCTCCAAGTGCCTTCCTGGGCTGACTATTGGCAATGGTTGACCGCTGCATTTGCCTCGCTCGTCTGTAGTGTATCCCGGCGCCTTTGGGAACGGGTTGGTTTGAGACTGCCTGAAAAGAAATGAGCGGCCAAAACCGATTCCCACAAGGGCCATTTCAACAAGTGGCTCTACCGGGTTTAGTTGGGGTTTTGTACTGAAGCCCATGTAAACCTTGATAACCTTCATCTTGGCAGAACCAAAAGTCCATGGGTGAAAGCGGGCGCTCAACCGGCAGAGTCTAGGGTTCTTGGCAAACTTCCCATTGGAATGGGGTGTTTTTCACTGTCCTTTGGGGGTTCGGAATCCTGGGACTCCAAAACTGGCGGACGTCATTGGGGCCATGGCTCGGAGAATGGATGCAGACCTGGTGGTACCGAATCCCTAGTTTCAAATCCCTCCTCCCCTCCAATGAAGAAATATTGTTGTTTTGTTCTGTTTCTTCCCTACTTTTCTGAGTAATGCATGTTCTCATTCCAATGAACATCAAACATATCAAGCATGTGTTTTTCAGGGTAGCCTTTTGCTCGCGAAATCAGCACAGACGGAAGCCAAGCATTTGGAGTCCCATGTGACCCGAGACCCATTTTGTGGAAAGGGAATTGGATCCACTTTCTCATTTTCCCAGATTCTGGGCTTTATACTTTTTGGGGTTGGACCATCGTGGTAAACGTCCTTGACCTTTTTGTTGGCCAATCCACTCAGGAAGTGAGATAAAGAGAGAACCGCCTCAAGAATGCTAGGACATGAATGCTGGTGGAAAACAACAAGTCTAGACTTCTTTTGATCCGTCCACTCAAGCAAGCGCATGGTTGCAAGCGCGCCACTTTTCTTCGGAGGCATCGGTGCGCAGCCGTGCTGCCTCTCCTGGCGCAACAGGCTGACCGGCTTCAAGTTGGAACGAACCGGGACAGCTGCGACCGGATGAATCCACCCGGTGCCAGCTGCCACCATGACCTCAGTGGATCCCGGTTCAGACTTTCGAATTGGAGCATTTCTCTTTAACACCAAGCCCAATAGATCCCAGGTACAACTACTCCCCGTTCAGTTGGCAAGGTGTCTTCTTCCTTTTTAAGGGTCCAACCACTTCGATTTGTTTTGGGCCAGTCGACTAAGCAGACTGTGTAGGTAGCGAGCAATTTTGCAGCTGGCTTTTCAAAGGGGGGTGCCTTGGTTACCTGCTATGGTGGTAAATAGAATCACCGGGTTTCTCACGATCAACAACCCAATCCTATAGGGGCGATTTTAACAACAGGGGCTGACCGGGTTGCGGGTCCAATTCCTCTTGGTGGGGGCCCTGACAACCACGAGATAGAACCATCAATGGGTTCCCTGAGCACACATCAATGGGCGATTGGGACCTTGGGCTTCAGTTTTGAACGCTGCCTAGGGCTTCCCACTGGTTTGGTTTTGGACTCTTTTCTTTTAGAACGGCTCGAGCCAGGCGCCAAAGCCGCCAAAGCCAAGGCGGGTCCTGCCGAAGGCGGGAATGCACAGACCATGGGGAGGAGAACCATTTGACTACTGAACAATTTGCTGACCTCAATTCCTGAGTTCATGGACTTTATATGTGGGCTTGGGCCATTTTAGTGGCAAACATAAAGTTTTCTCACTTTGTTTGGCCACTCAGGAAGTGATTGACTGGTTGGCTGGAAGCCAAGGCAAATAGTTGAGATTCTTGCTGGTACGCAAATGGAAGTGCAATCAGGGTTCGTCCATGAGCTTAAGGATCACCTCGTCGTGCCCAGAAAGGATTCCGGCAGTGAGGCGTTGATAAGAGTAACAAAGCAGTGAACGGGAGGAACGACTTGGCCAGCGTTGGATGGCGCGTGTCAGGTCAAAAGGGTATACCGTTGAGACTCGGTACTTGGAAACGTGGCACTATCCAGAATCATTTGTGTAGCATTTCCAAATATAGTCGGCCGGCTAAAAAGGGCGGTGTCCCGACAAGGGTGATGCATGGGAAAGCCATTGGTATACCACTTTTGAGGATTGGCTGCAAAATAGTTTGGCTGAAATGGGAGTTTCTCAAAATGGACCCCTTTTGGCTGGTATTTACATGGACAAAAAAAACAAACCATTTTGAGGGGCGCCCCTGTCTTGAGAAGCAACCAATACGTCTAGCTAGGAACATGGATGAACGGATAGCCAGGCGCAAAGCTTGGGCCATAGTTCCAGGTGCCGGGCGAATAGAAGGTGCTTGTATGAGTCAACATTTAGGGACTTAGTGGCAGTGGACACATCCGCCTTTTTGTAGTACGAATCCACACGAGCAAGAGCTGGCAGTTCATGATGTTTTGCTTTGCCCCCATTTTTCCGTGAGGAACTCCTTACCAGCAGCTCCTTGAGCCATCGCGCTCCGACCAAGGATGGCGTCTCATTATTGCCCGCCAAAATGAACGATTTCGATCCCAGGTCAGAAGTTTGACACACTACCCACATAAGTTCCGTTTTCAGGGTTGGTTTGAAGGGGAACCAAAAGGAAACCAGCCACTTGAAGGGCGTCCCTTTAGTTTGACAGAACTAGAAATCAAGTCGGCCCAGCCTGCTGCTCGTTGCCATGAAAAGGGTTTGCCCTATTTGGAGACACAGATTCGGGCTTGTTTGCTTAAAAATAGGCTTGGGAACCCCAAAATGAGTGGGGTGTCCCTAACTGGTTTCCCAAGACTACCCAAAACCCAGAAAAACTAGAAAAGTGAGAAAAGCAAAGCCGGTTAACGGTTAGGCAGACGAAATTATTTTGGGAAACCGGTACCCCAAAGTCAAAACCGGTTTCCCCAAAACGGAAAACCGCGAGACCCGACGCTCGCTCCTTCAGGCAAGCCTGCAACTCCGGCTGCCAAATCCGAGCTTGAGATCCTGGAAGGCCTGCTGACAATGTGGGCCGTGTCTCTGTTGTGTAGTGGGTGTTCTTGTTGTGTGTGTGTGTGGGTGGGTGTGTGGGTGCGGTGGGTGGGTGGGTGGGTGGGTGGGTGGTGGGTGGGTGGGTGGGTGGGTGGGTGGGTGGGTGGGTGGGTGGGTGGGTGGGTGGGTGGGTGGGTGGGTGGGTGGGTGGGTGGGTGGGTGGGTGGGTGGGTGGGTGGGTGGGGGTGGGTGGGTGGGTGGGTGGGTGGGTGGGTGGGTGGGTGGGTGGGTGGGTGGGTGGTGGGTGGGTGGGTGGGTGGGTGGGTGGGTGGGTGGGTGGGTGGGTGGGTGGGTGGGTGGGTGGGTGGGTGGGTGGGTGGGTGGGTGGGTGGGTGGGTGGGTGGGTGGGTGGGTGGGTGGGTGGGTGGGTGGGTGGGTGGGTGGGTGGGTGGGTGGGTGGGTGGGTGGGTGGGTGGGTGGGTGGGTGGGTGGGTGGGTGGGTGGGTGGGTGGGTGGGTGGGTGGGTGGGTGGGTGGGTGGGTGGGTGGGTGTTGTAATTATGTGGTGTGTGTATATATATATATATGTGTTGCGTGCGCTCTGTATTATGTGTGTGTTCATGAACACCCTCCAATCTCAGAGTTGGAACCTCGCTGAGTGGTCGGGCATCCAAATGGTTGGTAGCAGCATCCTTCCTCCTTGGAGCCAGCTCCCAGGGACATCCGTTGAATTTTGATGCTTGGAACACCCTCCCAAATGGTGGGGCCTGAATTTGTCACAATGATGTCAGGGCCCAATCAAAAAATATGCATGCCAATGTAGGGCCAAAGAAATGAACCTAAGTAGACCTGGGTGACCAATCTATCACAGACCATTTCACATGATTTTGACCTACTTGGACATATGTCAATGCAGATGATTCAGTTTGACCTGTGGGTCCACCTAAGGAATCACATCTGGACATCCCATCGAATTCCTCGTGTGTTTTCCTCATAGGCTTACTCGCTGCAAATTCAGACAACTATAAAAACGATACTCCTCCAAGAGTGGCTTTTTCGGGTTCCATGACTAGCGAAACCTGAACCCTACACCTAAACCCGCCTGAAGCCTGACGCCTGAACCAGAATCCTGAGCTTAGTCCCTACTCCCAAACCCTTCTAAACCAAAAGCCTAAACCTAGACCCTAAATTTGAACCCCGGCTTGCTCCCTACGCCCCTGCCCTAGCTCTCAAGAGGTCGGAGGCAACCACGCGTCAAGTATGGCTAAACGAACTCTGCTTCTTGAGTACTGAAAGGGGCCATGCCACACTTGAACCAGGACCACGCAGGAGTAGGGGGTGACGGCAAACCCACGGTCTCACTATTAGGGGCGTGCCACCCACAAAAGTGATCCGGATTCCCGCCAAACGGGGTCACCCCGCTAATCAGTCAGGGGTTCTGCTTAGTCCGGGTTCCCAGAATTTGCCTCACTGAGTTGGCCTGGCCCGGAATGAGCTGGAAGGGGGTCGATTCCCAGTTTTTGAGGGGGGAACACCCTCGCAAATCCCTACCAAATTCGTCCACCAAAGGGCCCCCAAAAGTCACACCCATCCAGCCGGAGCCGGACGAATCCCCGAAAGTACCCCCAAATCTCCACCAAGATAGCCCCAATTTTTTCCAAAAGCACCAACATACCCCAAGAAACATCCGCCAAACACCTCCCCAGGGCAAAAACCGACACCGGCGGCAAAAACCGCCGTGAACGCCTTCCGCGAGGCCTGCCGCCGCAGCTGGGCGCCTTGGCCCTGGGCTCCTTGGGCCTGGCCCGGGCCTGGGCCGTCGGCGGCTCCGGCGCCATCAGCTCAGCGCTGAGCCTGGCGCGGAACCTCAGCCTATGAAACTTCATGGGAGGTGACGGGGGGGGGGAGGGAGGGAGGGGGGGCGGGCCCAAAATAAGCCTCAACAAGCCTCAAGGTGGTCGTTGAGGGCTCAAATAAGGGCTCCCCCCCCCTCCCGTCCCTCCCCCCCAGCCCCCGTGAGTAGGTATGAATTTTAATGAGGGGGTTTGTGGGGTGGGGATCTATGTCCACCAACCATTTGGGAGGGGCTTCCCCTTTAAAATTCATAGCTATATGGGTCTGTCCTCGTTTGAGGGGTCCCCGTATGGGTGTGTCTCGCAAGATGGTGTTTTTGTCTTGCTTTGTCTCAAAGAAGCCAAAAAGGGCGATTTCCCCCAATTGTGACACACCCCCAATATTTGTTTGATTTCCCCTTGGTCTTCAAGATTGGGCAAAAGGGGACGTAGCCTGTCCACTAGGCCATGGAACCTGAAGGCAGTGGGTTCTATGTTGGAGGGGTGTTTGTTTTATATCGCCATCTTTTGCCCTGGATGTCTCTATCGTTTTCCCTTAGCAAAAGGTTGACTATTTGAAGGGGGTCCAAGTCTGGCCCTCCAGAAGGCTTCGTATGAAGGCGATTTGGTCCGGCGAAAATGCCAAATGCCAGCACCCTCCAAGGATTGTCAATACCCAAAACGGCTGTTTTTCGAGGGCACCACAGAACAAATGGACAAGCCTTGGATGATACGGGTGGTTTCCTTTTGGTTTCCCTAAAGTTCAGAAAGGCCGATCCGATCTTCTTGGGTCGACGCTGCTCAGCCCAGAGTCAGAGGCTTGTCTTTGGGTTCTCTTAAGCCAAAGACTGGTTGCTGTCCGGCATTTCGAAGGTTTCCTCAAGGTATGCCTGGGCTTCTCTTTTTCTGGTGTTTGATTTTTGGCTGTTCAAGGGCAATCCTTATGCCTCTTTTGCAACTTGGGTTAAAGGGACCCGTCACCAAAAAAAAGCCCTGGCATCGTCCCTGCACTGCAAATATCCCAAGAAACCTGGGTGACTCACTGATTCCATCATGTCCAAAGAGGGGCTGCATATGGGTGCGGTTCCTATTTCGGCACCCCCCCATGTTCTGTTTGCGGGATTCCATGTTTTCCCGCGTAAGAACATTTGGGCTCTGGTTTGAAAGCGACTCACTCATGCTGGAGGAACCCAGTCTCATCCAAGTTTGAGTCTGCAAAGCCTATGACTTTGTGTGAAGTTTCCTGGAAGGCCCGAAGGTGAGTTTGGGCACATGAGCATTGACAGACCCGCTTTTTTGTCAACGTCATTTGTGCAATCCCCATACTCCCCATATTATCGCCACAATAAAGTTACGCAAATGGCACATATTGGTCCGAGAGGGTACTCGCCTGCACATTGACGTGGAGAGGTGTTTGCGCTCCGTGTTGATTTGTTGGGGGAGCAACCTAGTTTATGCAGAGGTTAAAATGCGTCATGGCCAAAACACTTTTTTACGTGTGGTTGGTAGTCAACGTGTATTCCCAGGGATTTTAGACAACGATGGTCGGGATTTCGCGGCTCATCGGCCTGCTGTGAACATGCTCTGACGCGCGCTCAACTTCTATTAAGGGAACCATGACCATGGCCTATGATTTTGGAAGTTCTGACCATGGCACAAGTGTCAAGTCGCCAGGCGGCCCTTCTCTTCTTGGCCATCTATAGCATGAAGGCAGGCTAAACCAACCAGTTGTATCAGGCGTTCACGCCCCGAGTTTGCATTCAGCGTTTTTCTTTTGACCTCTGCTTTGTTGACTTTTCCAAAACCTGTTGGAGATTTCAATCGTTTGCTGATTTATTGGCTTTAGCGACCAACACAGAAAGACAAAGTTTAAGACACCAAGAAAGCCTTTTCGACCCATGTCTACCGGCACACCTTTGTTCACCGCAGGAAAGCTCTCGGCTTTCGGGCATCTAATCTACATGCACCAGTGTGGTCAAGTTGTCCATTTTCCGGGTGAGTGGCATCCGACCTCGGGTCCGACTCGATTTCCCTTTGAACGCAACCAACAAAAGAAAGGCGACCCTTCTTCCCCATGGCCACTGATCTTCTGAAAGAAACGGAGTTTGATCTTAGTGGTGTCGAACGGCTCTGAAGGGAGTCCCTTTGACAAATAAGGGCAGTCGAGGTTGCCAGGAGCCCTTGTTTCAAGGGTGTATGACTGTACGGCTGTATGCGGGAGTATGTTGCAGATTTGAGTTGTGCTTTGACATGCTTTGAGGCTTACGTCAAGCACTGCGCGGCCTAGATGGCCCTTTCTTACCAGCGCCTTATCCCAAACCATCAAACCCGTCGACCCTTGTGCAGCGTGCGCTTGAAGTGCGAGAAACAAAGAACTTGGATGTGACGTCAAACACTGGTTGTTTTCCTGCAGCCGTTGCCACAGCTGTTGCCAGACACAGGTGTGCCATGTCCGTGAAAGTCATTGTAGCGGACCTTGTTGGACGCTCGCTGCCACTTGAGCTTCCTACCACCGAAACTGTGAAAGCCATCAAGGAAGCAGTGGCTACATCATGGGGGCTGGATCCTTGCACCTTTCACCTGCTGATGGAAACCAAGCGCATGGATGAAGCGAGCAAACTTGAGAGTTTTCTCACGGAGAAGATGGAGGCGATTGAGGTGCAACTTCTCAAGTTCGACCCTCTCTTAGACCTCGGGCAGTTTGACATCGGCAATCACGAGGGCGTCGAGGTTTCTGGTGAGCATCAGGAAGTGTTGAAGAAGACCAAGGGTTACCCGGATTCCAACAATGTCTTCTTGCGCCGCGGGATTCAGGAGCCATGCTTCGTGGAGTTTGAAGTGTGCCGCAGTAGAGATGAGGTGTCCTTCGGTGTGACATATGACCGGAGCGTGGAGAAACTTTCAGCCGGATCAAACCTTTCCAGGGCAACCACTTGGATCTATTCTAAAAAGCAGGAATTGCCCGTCTTCTTGTTCGGTGGTTCACATGTGAATCCTCCGGGCAAGGTTGGTGTACAAGAGAAGGACATCATCGGGGTCTACGCAGACCCCGAGGCCCGCCTGGCGGAGTTCTACTGCAACGGGCATCTGGTCGGATGCACGTCGTCTCTCGGTGTTCCTTTGCCGCCGGCTGATGGTAGGCCTTTGTGGATGTATGCCATGGTGGACCAGGTACAAGATCATATCAGAATCGTGCGATTTGGCCCCGGCAAGCCATGAGGTTGACAAAGCTTCTACAGGTGAGCTGGCATGAGACCAGGCAAATCCTTTGCAACCTTTTTCTGCGGGAGATGGGTTCATCCCACATCCTAGCACAAGGTACCGCCTTGCCATGAAAGAAAAAGACTCTTGGGACCATGCGAGTGGGATCTACAGTGAGACAACGGATCAGGTCTCCAGTTGGATCGGTTTGCATTGGAGCCTCAGGGTCAGGACCTTTGGCCGGTTTTGAGCCCCGGCTTTGAGGAATGCCTTTTGGATGTTTAGGGCACCAAGGCTTGGACAATCTGGCGGTGTGTTCCCTTGGAACCGTTTTGCCTGATACAAATTCTGCCAGGCTACCGCCGTTCAGAATCCCAGCTGAACACGTGGATTCTTGTTCAATGGGGCGACCGCATGGGCTGTTTCCATTTGGCTTCCGTAGCCACAAAGAACGGGTCCAGCATTTGGTGTCCATTCTCATTGACCAGCAAAGTGAACAATCGCCGGGGCTCGCACTGGTGATTTGTTTCCCCAAATCGGATCTGGGCTATGGACATGGGCTGCTTTTAGCTTGGGTTCCCTTCTAAACCGAAAGGCGCCCCCAGCCCCATCATTTTGACTTCCGGGGTCTCGAACTCTTCGAGATATGTCACTTCGCGGGTCACAACATTCATGATGCCCTGCAAATTCAACACCCAATTACTCGCTCGCCAAAAAGCGACACTTGCAGGGTTAAAGCGAGGTTTTGCCATGAACAAGCCAGTTTAATGGGGTCTTCAAAAGGAGTGGATGGTAAGATTGCATTATTGTTTCTATTTCCCCACCGCTAGCTCCAAGCGAACGTCGGGCATGCAACCTTCATATAGTGGCTATATATATAATATATATATATATATATTGGTTGTATCGTGGTTGTACACGCAACATTTCCCTTGGGTAGTGGGTAGTGGAAGCCATTTGGGATTCCAGCCAGTTTTGGGGGCTGAACTGGAGGTGAAACATGGGTGTGGCTCAAAACAAAGTGAAAAAGCGGGGCTTGCGCGTGTTTTGGTCCTTGTTTCTGACATTGTGGGCACCATGTTCTGCGCCAGAGCAAAATGTCTCTGGTCGCGTCGGTTCCATCCTCTCCTCTCTTCATATGCTGATTCAGAGCCAACACGCAGCAAAGTTAGGTTTTTGGGCGATGAACCGACATACCAACCTAATGTCTACGAAACAAACTCCAGGAGTTCCTCTCCACGAAATCAACAACCTGCCTAGTTTTGCGTTGGCTAACTTGGAGCTGTTCCTGGAGTTTGTTTCTTGGACTGGAGGGACTATCAAGACATGCCTCTTGGACTCCGTTGAATATCCTCCCAAAAACATAGGTTTCTGCACCGGAACCGCGGGGAGATGATGTGGCTCCACGTTTCCTCTTTGGGAGGGTATTTTTTGGGGGTTGGACCATTGGGAGCAAGTTACCTTACATCTTACGATTTTTGGTTGCCAATGCTCTGGGACTCGGACGCGAACAACAAATATGGGGGTTCTGCACGATGTCCGCCGCTTCTTCCGCCAAGGTTGGCTTGGATTTCATAAGTGAATTCCCGACTCAACCGCCGAACCCAAGAACAGTTGACCCAATTTGGATGATCAAGATTTTAGGTAAACAGAATGGCGGCCATATGAATGTTAGACCCCCAATTGGAATAGTACCCTCCAGGTCGGGGGGGGGGCTTCACCCCCACACAAAATTGTGGATGATGAAGATCTGTAGGTAAACAGTGGTGGTCATATGAACCCCCCATGGTTTCTATGGTTTGGACCCCCAATAATTTTCCCGGTGGTTTGACCCCCCATGGTTTCACTGGTGGTTTGAACCCCCGTAGTTTCACTGGTGGTTTGAACCCCCATGGTTTTCCCGGTGGTTTCAGCCCCATCCGCTCTCCGCTTCCGCCTCGCCTGCGTCTTCGTCCGCCAGCTCCTGCGGCCGAGCGCGCTCTGGCGCGACGCCTCGGACGCCAGCGCGCTGCCGCCGCTGGGGGCCTTCTTCGCGGCGGCGCAGGAGGGCGGCGAGAAGCGGCCGGGGTGGAGACGTGCCGTCGGTGCGCTGGGCAGGGAGTGAGACATGTTTTTTTTTCTTGAAGAAAGGAAACCAGCAGTTGGATGAGATATGGAATGAAGTGTCTTTTTCTTCAAAGGAAGAAAGGAATCATAAAAGTTGGATGGTTTACAGTACGGGGGTCATTCCCTCCAGCAAGTAAAGGAGTCTCCGTTTAGGGGAGCCTACTTTCTGGGTTATGTGGATTTGGGGCACTTTGTTTAAACAAGGCCCTGATGAGCTTTGGGAAGAAGGATAAGTTTGCTTGAACAAGAGTTTAAAAGATGTTTGAACGGTTGCTTGTCCGCACCCTGGCTAAATCTGGGTTAACGTTGTGCAAGCTACATGTTTGCCTCTGATCAAACTGACGGCAGAAAAGATGTAAATCCTAGGGCTGAACATTGACCAAGAAATAGGCCAGATATTTTGCTCCATAAAGAAATCAAAAAAAGGGATGGGTATTTTCTATCTTGCCGAACCCCCCCCTTTTTGGCACCCAGAGCTGGGGTGTCCCAAAATTGCTCTGAGTTCATGTTGGATGTTGCGCGAGAGTTGCTGAAATTGGACCACCAATTTGAAGGGCGACTTCGAGCCCCGAGAAAAATGCCGACGGCATGCCGCTGGTGAGCAGGAAAAGCAGAAGAGAGAGCTGGTTTTCGGCAATGTGTGCGAGCGTCTTGGCGGTTCCCAGCCACATCCAGACTTTCAGATTCAAAGAGTTTAGAGTCTTAGAGGGAATTCTGCCACATATGGCAAAGGACCTCCAATCAGATGCAAGATGGGAGCCGCCTGGTTTGGGCGCCATCATTTCCTTCCAAAAAGGGGTCTGCGAAAAGAGTGAAGCGAATTGAGTATGTTTTCTATGCCAGTCTTAGACGTTTAGGAGAGTTTGGTCAGGGGTCAACATTAGACCTCATGTCGAAAGGTGTCACATAGATTGCCGATAACGTGTTGTTGTCAAAAGGGATAGGTATTCCAGTTGGCATGTTGTCCTCCCCAAGTCAACGGGCACATGTTCGGTACATGAGGTTCGGTCAAACTTAAGGTAGTCTACCACCACGTTTTCCACACGCATTAGGGGTCTCATCATGTTTCCCGTGTCCCTTTGAGGAAAACAACTTCATTTTGACCGTGGCTCTTACGTTAAGGTTAACTAAACATGAACCACCAGTGTTGTTTTAGTGTGCCCCAGAGCTGGGCCTTCGGTTTATTTTCCCCTTGGCAATTACCAACATGACTTCCACTGAACACTCTGCAGGGCGTGGGTGTGCGGTACCTGGTGCCGGAGTTGGCGCAGCTGGTGATTGTCGTCACCCACGGGCTCATGCTGCTGGTGTCGATCCGCTTCGCTTGGGTGAACGCGAAGAGCCCTGGCAACCGGTCTGACTGATTTTCAACCAATCCCACGTCTACTGTGGTGCCAGAAAGTGAGAGGGGCTGGTTGGTGCTCCGAGCCTCCAAATCATGACCAAAGGGGTAGACAGTTGGTCAAGCTTTTTGCTTTTTTGAATTTCCCACCAGAGAGCATGTGTTCCCCTTCTGCCAAGGTTCTTGATGCAACCCTGCTGATGGGTTTCTGCGTGTCCGGCTAGTTTGGTTTCGGTTTGCTTGCCCTTTCACACAACCCTTAACGCGCATTGCCAGTTTTCCGAATCGGATTTCAAGCATCTAGATGAAACGAGTAAGAACCGATCAACGTACTAATAATATGATATAATATGATATAATATGATATAATATGATATATGATGGAATATGATATACCACGATAATATGCTTATTATCTTTGTCCTTTTGCAATCCTTGTTTTTAGCCTTGCGCACCCGGCCAACCGCACGCTCAGGAAAGGCCTGCGTCCAGACCCCTCCTGGTTTCCAGGCGTGGCAACTGGTTGCAATCAGTCAAGGTTAGCATGGGCCTCTCACAAAATGGGGTTCGGTCGCCTGGTCGTTTTGCCTGCCTGCCTGCCAGCCTGCCTGCCTGCCTGCCTGCCTGCTTGCTTGCTTGCTTGCTTGCTTGCTTGGTGGGTTGGTTGGTGGGTTGGTTGGTTGGTTGCTTGGTTGCTTGGTTGCTTGGTTGCTTGGTTGGTTGCTTGGTTGCTTGGTTGCTTGGTTGCTTGGTTGCTTGGTTGCTTGGTTGCTTGGTTGCTTGGTTGCTTGGTTGCTTGGTTGCTTGGTTGCTTGGTTGCTTGGTTGGTTGCTTGGTGGCTTGGTTGCTTGGTTGCTTGGTTGCTTGGTTGGTTGCTTGGTTGCTTGGTTGCTTGGTTGCTTGGTTGCTTGGTTGCTTGGTTGCTTGGTTGCTTGGTTGCTTGGTTGGTTGCTTGGTTGCTTGGTTGCTTGGTTGCTTGGTTGCTTGGTTTCTTGGTTGCTTGGTTGCTTGGTTGCTTGGTGGCTTGGTTGCTTGGTTGCTTGGTTGCTTGGTTGCTTGGTTGCTTGGTTGCTTGGTTGCTTGGTTGCTTGGTTGCTTGGTTGCTTGGTTGCCTGGTTGCCTGGTTGCCTGGTTGCCTGGTTGCTTGCTTGCTTGCTTGGTTGCTTGGTTGCTTGGTTGCTTGGTTGCTTGGTTGCTTGGTTGCTTGGTTGCCTGGTTGCTTGGTTGCCTGGTTGCCTGGTTGCCTGGTTGCCTGGTTGCCTGGTTGCTTGCTTGCTTGCTTGCTTGCTTGCTTGCTTGCTTGCTTGCTTGCTTGCTTGCTTGCTTTCTTTCTTGCTTGCTTGCTTTCTTGCTTGCTTGTTTGGTTGCTTGGTTGGTTGTTTGTGGTTGCTTGGTTGGTTGGTTGCTTGGTTGCTTGGCTGCTTGATTGCTTGGCGGAAGGGCAGGGGACCATGATTTCAGGACGCACAAACACATTGCCCCAACCCAAAACAAAGATTCCCAGGCTGCTTTCTAACAACCCCAAAGAAACGCTTGATCCGCGAAAACCACCACACCACCACCACAACCGCCACAGCCACCGCCACCGCTTCCGCCACCGCCAGCGGCACCGCCACCACCCACCCACCCCCACCAGCACCACCACCGCCACCGCCAGCTCCACAACAAGAACAAGAACAAGAACAAGAACAAGAACAACAACAGCCACAACCACAACCACAACCACAACAACAATGTATGTGTGCATGTAACGTATGTCATGTATTTATTTAATTGTAATGTAATGTAATGCAATGTAATGTCATGAAATGCAATGTCATTGCAATCTCCTGTAATGTAATCTAATGTCTGTATTTATGCATGGACGTTTGCACGGACGTATGTGTGTATGTTTTTGCAATGTAATGTAGTGTAGTGTAGTGTAGTGTAGTGTAATGCATGTATGTATGTAATGTATGTATGAAATGTAATGTAATGCAATGGAATGTAATGTAATGTAATGTAGTGCAATGTAATGTAATGTAATTTAATGTAATGTAGTATATGTATGTATGTATGTAATGTATATGTGTATGTAATGTAATATGTAATGTAATGTAGTGGAATCTATTGCAATGGAATATAATGCAATGCATTGCAATGTAATGTAATGTAGTGTAATGACATGTAATGTATGTATGGTATGTAATGTAATGTAATGTGATGTGATGTGATGTGATGTAGTGTATGTATGTATGTATGTATGCAATGCATGTATGCATTCATGCATGCATGTATGTTTAACTATCTATGCATCGTCCCAAAGGACAACAACGTAACAATAAGCAAAACCACCAATCGCAAAAGCAAGAAAATCGTTGCCCAAAGCGCTTGGTTCGTTTGTTCCCCTCCGCCCGGTTTTTCTCTGACGGAAGCGGAGGGCTTCTGCTGAGTGGCTTCACGAGCGTCAGCGCATCCGCGCTGGGTCCCTGGTGGCTGAAGGCAGCGGTGCCGCTGCACTTCTGGAGCTCCATCGCGCCTCGGAGCTCGGGGTGGAGGGTGGCGAGGGTGGCGGTTTGCCGAGAAAACGTGGGGGATATAACATAATGTACATAGTATTCAAAAAAAACACATATTAATAATGTAACATGATACAATGTGGGGGATATAATTACCATAAATGTAGATAACATAACATACATTTGCGTTATGTACAAAACGAGGGTATATAGTATCGGGCTAGCAGATAAAAAAAATATTTTAGAGTACATGAACATGCACATGTCAAAAGTCTATCAACAAAATGAGTTAGAATAAATAGGAAAAAAGACAGTTAGAATAATAAAAAAGAAGATAGAATATATCAAAAAAAGAAAACAACAGATATAATATTTCAAAATAAGGGTTTCTGCTATGAACAACTACTCTGCGATAAATGTCCTAGCTGCTAGCCCGTTGCTAGATATTTCTATATGCGGCTTTCAGCAAACCATGTGGGTCCCATGATTTTCCATTTGGGTCCGTCTCTCTTTCAAGGGTATATGCAAAACCAAACGGAAACCAACCGGTTTGAGGGGTCCCCCTAAGAAAGACACACGCATTTACCAGAGGAATGCATGGCTTCTCCTTTTTTCGGAGCTCAAATGCTCAGCCCGACGGGCCATGCCCCTCTCCCACAAACAGATAGAATATTTCATATACAGCAAATTCTCCAGAGACTCAAACGGTACCGAGCCCAAAATATTCATGAACACCATTTGGGGGGGGGGCAGATAGAATATTTGCTTTTGCAAGCCTTCATCAGGTGATTCATCGTATGCATAAATTACTAAATATAGAGATAGTAAATATTGGATTGCTTATTTTTTGAGGGTACCCCAGTATATTCCAACAAGGGGTGGCCTTCCTTTCCCTTTAACCCAACCACAAACGGCACCGAGCCCAAAACATGCATGAACACCATGGGGGCGCACAGTTAGAATACTTGTTTTTGGCAAAACTTCATCAGACGCATAATAAAGATATAGAGATAGTAAATGTTGATTTGTTTATTCTTTGAGGGTCCAAAAGCGTGGCCTTCCTTTCCCTTTAATCCAACCCCAAACGGTACCGAGCCCAAAATACAAATGAACACCATGTGGTGGCACAGTTAGAATATTTGTTTTTGGCAAAACTTCATCAGGTGATGAATCGTAGGCATAATGAAAGATATAGAGATAGTAAATATTGTTTTGTTTATTCTTTGAGGGTCCAAAAGCGTGGCCTTCCTTTCCCTTTAGCCCAACCCCAAACGATACCGAGCCGAAGCTATACATGAACACCATGGGGGGGCACAGAAAGAATATTTGTTTTTGGGCCGGAACACCTTCACACTTTAATATATATATATATAATAGAGAGAGATAGCAAGCATTGGATGGCTTGTTTTTTAAGGGCACTTCAGTACACTCCAACAAGGGGTGGCCTTCCTTTCCCTTTGACCCCAACCCCAAACAGTACCGAGCCCAAAATACAAATGAACACCATGGGGTGGCACAGTTAGAATATGTGTTTTTGGCAAAACTTCATCAGGTGATGAATCGTAGGCATAATGAAAGATATAGAGATAGTAAATGTTGTTTTGTTTATTCTTTGAGGGTCCAAAAGCGTGGCGTTCCTTTCCCTTTAGCCCAACCCCAAACGGTACCGAGCCGAAGCTATACATTGTACACCATCGGGGGGCACAGTTAGAATATTTGTTTTTGGGCCGGGAACCTTCATTAGGCAGTTAATCGTATGCACACATAAACATATATCTATATAATATACATAGTAGATATGGATTTGCGTATTTTGAGGGTACCCCACTATTCTCCAAAAAGGGCTGGCCTTCCTTTCCCTTTAACCCAACCCCAAACGGTACCGAGCCCAAAATACAAATGACCACCATGGGGTGGCACAGTTAGAATATTTGTGTTTGGGCCAGGAAACCTTCATCATGCATTCAAGCGTATGCAAATATATAAACATATACATGTTATATATAGAGAAAGTAAATATGTGTTTGCTTAGTTTTTGAGGGTACCCCACTATGTCCCAAAACGGGGTGGCATTCCTTTCCTTTTAACCCAACCCCAAACAGTACCGAGACCACATATGAATAAATGAGACAGTTCGAGTAATCCCAAATCTTGACATTCCTGTGCAAATCCTTGGAAGTGGAACAGACACATAGAATAATTTGTGTCAGATACAAAGGCTGCGAGGTCTGGAAAATGACCTTTGAAAGGAGGTATCAGCAATACTAAGTTTTGTCCTGGCAGTCCAAAGCAAGTCAAAAAGTGTGTTATCAGAACAGGTTTATTGTGAACATCTACGGCTACGGCCCTTGCTGAATTATTCTAATTCTATCTGATAAAGATACTAAACTTACTATTGGCAATGCTAAAATCAGCGCTGGCAATACTAAATTGACTATTGCGGCAAAGCTACCCCCTCTTCTCGTAGCCAAAGCACCTTCCAGGATATGTTTTTCAATAAAGAATTTTGCAGTTCAAATCCTTGCTAAACTTTACTAGGCTTAGCATTGGCAATCCAAAGTTTATATTGGCAATGCTAAATTCAGTACCGGCAATAGCAAGAATGTCCTGCCAATACTAAATTTACTATTGGCAATGCTAAAATTAGTACTGACAATATGTATGAATGTACTATTCTCAAACTAGTACTGGCAATGCAAAATTAAGTACCGGCAGTGCTAAAATTAGTCCTGGCTCGGAGGACCGGATTTTACCGCCCGCGTGCAACTCCAAAGTTTCTACCTTTGAGCTTTTCGTGAAAGCGTTCGAGCTTCCCCCCCCCTCTAAGCCAAAAAACCATCACTAGATTTAGTATTGGCGATACTAATCTTAAATATTGGTAATGCTAATTTAAGTTCTGGCAATACTAATTTAGTCCTGGCAGTCTAAAACCTTCGAGAAGTGTGTTGTTATCAGAACAGGATTCTTTTGAAATATTCTATCTGTCAAAGCATATTCTATCTGCTGGCCACCTGAAAGGGTGTTCAAATTTCAAGGATTTGCGCAAATGTGAATTATTCTAAGTGTCACTTGTGCGCCTAAATATTCTAACGGATGTTTTGGGATATTTTCGGAGTAAAATATATTCTAAGTGAGGATCGGACGGAGTAAATTATATTCTATCTGCTAGCCCGATACTATAGCATGTTGTGTTATGCTATACGGGAAAATAAGTTCTGTTTGGGGGTATGCTCAGGTAACCATGCAGGAAGCACCATTCAGGTAACCCGTCGGGTTTGTGGTTTGGATTGGTTTGATTTGAAGTGTTGCTTCTGGTAGAGGGTAAATGAGAAACCACCTTCTAACCACCAAACCACCAATCTAAGCCAACAATTTGAGGGAAGCTGATATAGAGTGTGTGTGTGTGTGCGTGTGTGTGCGCGTGTGTGTGTGTGTGTTTCCAAGAAACAATGTTTGGGCTGTTCATGGTGTCCTTATCAAACGCCTTGATTGAGTATGTATATATATATATGTATGCATGAAAGCACTCAGACATATCACAAAACACAATGCAGGTTGTGGGTTGCAGTTGTTGGTGACCAATGTTGAGAGTGCAAACCCTCAAAAGGTGGCCCAAAGCACAAACATGAAACGATAAAACATAGGTTTGGTTTTCTGGCAACAACAAGTACCCCAGCAATGAAGAAATGCCGGAATTGAGTGGGTGTTCCTAAATTGACCATTTTGGCAATGAGGAACCCAAAGAGACAACTTGTCATTTCGGTGTTGATAGCGGGGGGCTTTCAAGTGAACAAAGCTACTTTTAGGGGATGTGCCTTTGTCACTGTGATGGACCAACTATATCGGGGCAACCACAAAGTGATACCCTGGATGGTTTGGGCTGAAAGGGTACCCTTTACCCTTTGGTGGGACATGTGATTTATGTGTGCAATGTGGCGGGCATTCCTTTGTCAAATGCAGCTCGCAAAGCATGTTCCCCCAAAAAAGCATGGCGCATCAATATGGGTTTGGCTCAATATTAGAACTCGGGTGGCCGCAGGTTTGGGGTATGTTACTACTGGCGGTCCGGCCCGATTTGGAGCCATTGCAAGCAGCCCTCCCAAACACCAAAGCCATGGGTGTCCTTTTTAGAACAAGTTGGTTTAACATAGATGAAACCACACACACCCAGCACTGCGACCGACTTCTGTGATTGTGCAGACGCAAGGACGCAAGACGCGAATGATAAGGCCATCTACGTGCCGGTGAAGCTGGTGGTGATCTATCGACACCTGGTTGAGGTCTCGCTTGGGTCGAGCTGAATCGGTGGCGTTTGGGTGGAAGTCTGGCGAAGCTCAGGGGTTCGACGGTGAAACAAATGGCAAGGACCCAATTTACATGAAGTGTAAACAGTGGTGGCTATATTTATATATACATATATATATATATATATTCCCCCATGGTTTGAATGGTTGTAGTGCCGGGGGTTTGGTTGTTTTCGTTTTTGCCCAAAGTCTTCCTTGCTTTCCCCGTTGTTTGGGCGCAGGGGTTTTAGTATCATTGTTTTGGGGCCACTTTGGCCTGTTGGTGGGGTGATATTTGAAGGGAACACATTGGATTCCCTGCTGTTTTGGCGCAACACCAGCGACCCAGCCTTTCGGAGAAGTTCCGGGATTCACGAGCAATGTAATCTTGTGGCTCCCTTTGATCCCATCCAATGGAGGGGGGCTATACACATGTGTGTACATACATACATATATATATATATATACATGTGTATATATATATATATGTATGCATGCATGCATGCATAAGTACCTGCCTACCTACATACATGCATGCATCCATCCATACACACATAGATACACAGATACATAGATACATACATACATACATACATACATACATACATACATACATACATACACATACATACATATATACATTCACATACATACATACATACATACATACATACATACATACATACATACATACATACATACATACATACATACATACATATACATACACATACACATACACATACACATACACATACACATACACATACACATACACATACACATACACATACACATACACATACACATACACATACACATACACATACACATACACATACACATACACATACATACATACATACATACATACGTACATACATACATACACACATACACACATATACATACATACCTGCATGCATGCATGCATGCATACATGCATACATGCATACATGCATACATGCATACATGCATACATACATACATACATGCATATATGCATACATGCATACATACATACATTACATTGCATCATATTGTAATGTATTGCATGACATTACATTGCATTACAGTACATTACATACATACATTACATACATACATACATACATACATACATACATACATACATACATACATACATACATACATACATACATACATACATACATACATACATACATACATACATACATACATACACACACACACATACACACATACACACATACACACATACACACATGCACACATACACACATAGATACATAAATACGTAGACACATAGATACATACATACATAGACAAATAGATAGACACACACACACATACATGGATGCATACATACCTACCTACCTACCTACATATCTACCTATCTACATACCTACATACCTATATACCTACATACCTACATACCTACATACCTACATACTTACATACCTACATACCTACATACCTACATATCGACGTACCCACATACCTACATATACATATATACCTACCTACATACCTACACACCGACATATCGATATACTGACATACCTAAATGCCTACATACCTTAACAAAGCTACATACCTACCTACATACATACCTACCTACATACCTACATACCTACATACCTACAAACCTACATACCTACATACCTACATACCTACATGCCTACATGCCCACATGCCTTTTATACCTGCATGCCTGCATACATACATACCTACATAAATACATACCTACATACCTACATACCTACATTACTACACACCTACATACATACGTACGTACGTACATAACATCCATCCATCCATCCCTCCATCCAGCCAGCCAGCCAGCCACCCACCCACCCACCCACCCACCACCCACCCACCCACCCACCCACCCACTTACCCATCCATCCATCCATCCATCCATCCGTCCGCCCATCCATCCATCCATCCGTCCGTCCATCCATCCATCCATCCATCCCTACATACATACATGCATGCATGCATACATACATCCAGACAGACAGGCAGGCATACATACATGCATGCATGCATACATACATGCATACATACATACATGCATGCATACCTACCTACATACCTACAAACCTACATACCTACATACCTGCATACCTACATACCTACATACCTACATACCTACATACCTACATACCTACATATATACATACACTTGTACGTACGTACGTACGTACAAAAAGTCCATCCATCCATCCATCCATCCATCCACCCACCCACCCACCCACCACCCACCCACCCACCCACTTACCCATCCATCCATCCATCCATCCATCCGTCCATCCATCCATCCATCGCTACATCCCTACATGCATGCATACATACATCCAGACAGACAGACAGGCAGGCATACATGCATGCATACATACATACATGCATACATACATACATGCATACATACCTACATACCTACATACCTACATACCTGTTATACCTGCATGCCTACATTCCTGCACACATACATACCTACATACCTACATACCTACATACGTACGTAGGTACGTACGTACGTACGTAACATCCATCCAGCCAGCCAGCCAGCCACCCGCCCGCCCGTCCATCCATCCATCCATCCATCCATCCATCCATCCATCCATCCATCCATCCATCCATCCATCCATCCATCCATCCATCCACTCGGAACCCGCTCAAATCCACTCGGAAACCACTCGGAGGGAAGTATTCTCGTGGGGGGCAGCATAAATCTCGGCAAAGTCCGAGAAACCCTCTGGAGAACCTTCCGGACACCCCCCCGGACAACTTGCCGGACAGTTGTTTGTCCAGCAGTTTGTCCCGCACTTTGTCTGGCACTTTGTCCCGCACTCTGTCCCGCATATCGAGGGGGGTGTTTATGCAGAAGGGCATTCGTCAATACATACATACATACATACATAAATACATACATACACACGTACATACATAGACTCCACCCTTCTTAAACCTACTTTAGACCCTATGGTTCTAACCTACCCAACGCGTTTCGTTTCTTTTTCTTGAGGACTCTTCTTATCGCCAGCACGGAGCTCGGTGGCGGCCAACGCGGGCATGGCCACCTTCATGGCGCCCGGGTCCTTCTTCACCGTGGCGCCTCAGCCAATCGACCTGAGTCGATTCATGAAATTCTGGACCAGATGTGAATTGCACTTGAATTCTCTGGAATGAGATTCTGATATATGTTAGAGTGTGATACTAATAACCCTTCACACGAAAAATTAAACTACTGAACCAGCCATAGCCTCCACCGCCTGGGTTGAGGCGAGTACTACTTGCTGGTGCTCAGTAGAGAAGGGAATGAATGAAGGCTTTGGTCCCCTTAAAGGAAACCACCAGTTGGATGGTGGCTCATTCCATGTCTCATGCCAATCGAAAAAGGAAATCACTAGTTGGATGGGTTATCTCAGGGTCAGAAACCATTTGAGCCACAATCAAAACCGATTCGGGTAAGTGAAGGTTAGTAAGGGACGATCCCAGCCATAAATAGCTGCGGCCGCCTACTTTGAACACGCTGTGCTTTTCAAATCTTAGTTCTTGAAGCATAGTTCTGGGTCGACCATTAGTGTACCGGGTTTTGATTGTGACTCACCTGACATTCTTCCACTTGCTGAATCAAATATGTGTTTATTTGGCTTGCCTGTGGTTTCCCGTAACTAAATGAAGGGGTAGCCAACACATCCATTGCTCAAGCATATGTTTTGCTGTCCCTTTTTGGTTTACAGAGAATCCATCACTACTGGACATAGCCCACCTTTTGGGGCCCGCGTTGTTCTTGGCTCCATTTTAGGTTCCCATTTTTGGTCCGAAAAGGTGATCACTTTGTATCTGCCGGACCCTAAGGGGGGCAACCTGAGGTGCATCTCACCAGCGGCGGGGCCGACGTCGGCCCGGATCGAGGGACGGAAGGGCTGAACTTTACTCTCTTTTTTGCCAGCGAGGGGTGCAGGGATCCGTTTTGGACATGCTTCATAGTTTAAGGTTCACTTCTTACCCAAAGCTGAGCTATGTTTAAAGCGGCATTCACATGAGAATAAACACAAATTTGACCTTTGGTTAAGGGCAAAAACTGAGGTTCTTTGGAAATCCTGCACACGCTGGGATGGATGAAGCCCGAAAACCGGAGTTTTTTACCACCTAATTGTTGCCTCCACAGAAGGGTGGGGCCGGTCGCCTACCCCAAAAAGGGTCCCCTCAAAAACCACACCCCCATTCATCCATGAATTCCTGGGCGCGGATTTTGTGCCAGCAGATTTTGTCCATCCCAATCCCATGTCCAAAGCCCGTGCTGTCAGTGCTGCATGGTGCTGTCGATGTGTCGATCAGGGAAGCCCGGGGGAGATCTCATGGGCTTGTTGCTCTTCGCCGACTCCACGATTTCATTCCTGGCCACCGTCGGTCTCTTGTACATCAGGCGCGGGATCGAGCGCTTCGGGAGAGGCACGGAGCAGGTTTTTGGCCGTGTTCTCCATGAAATTGGCTAAGGGGTTGCCCTGAAAAGGCAACAACCACAAAAAAGTGCTGTTTTTCCCCCATGGCCAGGGAAGGGGGCTATCCTTGGGCTATCCCATCTCATGCGGGCTTATCCTTGGCTTATGACAGCCCCCCCTTGCCCCAGCCCTTCCCTCCCCCTCCCCGCCGACAAAAGGATAACCTCCTTTGGTTTGAGACCCAATTTCCACTGGAAGGGAGGACACCTTTGCGGCACGTTTTTGTTTGAAGCTCGGTTTGGAGGTTGGCTCGGGAAGTCAAAAGGACGACCCTTTCTGAGGTCCACCGATCTTGACACCGCAAATGCTGGTTATGTTGAATCTGGGGTCAACATTGGGGGTTTGGATCCTGGCCCCTTTGAGGATCTCTCTCAACCAATCTATGCTTCAAACTCAACCTGTGCACTGAAAAAGGGTTCTTTCCCCGTCAAAAAGTCAGGGGGAATTTCATATTGGATCTGCCTTTTTGGAGGGTACCTTTTTGTTTTTAAGGGATTCCAAAAGGACACCATAATTTTGGAGGCCTCCCCCCAAGAAAATATCCTCATTGGCAAACCACGCCGCGAATGATTCGGAGCGATGTGATGCGTCAGACGAACTTTGGTTGGCTTGACTACGATGCGGGTATACGAACAGTTGAGCTGATACCGTCACAGGTTTCACCAGGCCGGTAAACCTGATCAGCCAAAGACTTTCTCTTGTTTTCTTCTTGGCTGTTCCCAGCCGTCCCCTTAGGTTTTTAGTCTTTTAGGGTTTGGTGGGGGCTTGCATTTAGCCCACTAAAATTTAGTCACTTTTAGCGGGGGATCTGAAAACGGATCGCCCTGGCTTAAACGGGACACCTTTTGACCTGGTGATTCTTGTATGCTGAGAACTCGCATACTACTTGGGTCGCCTGGATCCGATGTGTTGCAACAGTTGTAGTCCCTTTCATTCGCGTCCTGAGTTCCGGGACTTTTGCCGCAGTTTTCGGGCTGGACCATTTTGATGGTAAACAACAAGTTAGGACTTTGTTTGGAAAATATCCACCAAAATGAGACAACCAGTTGTGGTTCCTAGAAAAAGCCAAAAGGAACTTGTTACGGGTTAGTTTGAACCAGCGCTTGCGACCGAGAAGCCAGGGTTAATTTCATCCTTTTCATCGAATTACAAGTACTTCATCCGAAAGGAACATGAAAGGGACAATGACCTGTATGTTACAATGTTACATCACCCGTTCAATCCTCGCTGGTTTCTTCATGGTAGCCAAGCCAGATCGCTTGCACCAACGGACACCGTGTGCAGCATCCGAAAGGAGCCAACTTCTCAGAACCCCATTGAACGGGTCGCCCAAACCAATGTGTTAAAAAAAGGGGGGTTCTCAAAACAGGGGACCCCTTTTTGGATGGTTTGGTTTCAAAGGAAAACCAAAGGGAAACCACCACTGCCGGAGGATCCGGTTCCCAATAATCATTCGCTTTGAGAGAAGTTGCTTGAGGAGATCCGTTTGGTCCAGCGCTTTCCATGTGAGCTACGTGGCCTTCACGTTCCCTCTGGCCTCAACAGCCACCGCTGCCCTGCTCAGTTCTGCCACTCGCCGGATTCTGCCGGCATGGCAGTGCATTTTGTGGACACGACCCACTATCCTGCAAAGAAACGTGACCAGGACCCACAACAGCCTTGACCATGGGTTTGCCTCAAACCGGAGCACAAATTCCCGAGTTTCCTTTCGTATAGTGAAACGATCAACCCAAAAGGGAAAGGAAAAGACGGACGCCTTATATGACAATTGACCCCAATGCACCCGATCGCCATTTTGCCCTGGAGTTGGTGGCTAAGCGTTGTAAGTCTGGCGCCTGGAATGTTTTCCCAGTGGTTGAAATATATGCTTCGAACAACAAGGCTTTGGTGATGTTGCTTGGGGGACATATAGTTGCAACCCCCTTGAAGCGCTGGCAAGTGCCAGTTGCAACTTGACTCTGGGCCCTTTCTGCCTTTCTTCCATGCGAAGATGTCTTTCAGCAAATCAACCAATAGACATGGATGTCTTTGTGTCCCCTGGCCAGGCAAGTAAATTGGGTGCCCGCCCGATGGGGTGATGTTACTTTCAGGCATGTGGAGACTACGCGCTTTTCCGACCAGAGGTTGGCCATCAAACCTCATGGCGAAGTGCTCGTTCTTGGGGCTTCCCCTTGGTTTGGCTTTGGGTTGGTAGAATATGCGACATGTCCCGTATAAGATGCGCGTTTCCCCTTTGATTCCTGTTTGTAACAGCCAAGAGGAGAGCACCCCGACGAACGCGGCACGCCCATTCTTCCTGGGTGCAAGACATGCCCTGGACATGTTCAAGCGTGTGGTTTCCCTCAGTGGCAGGGTGTTTTTCAACCGCCTCCTTTCATGGGGAATCCGGGAGGCTGTATAAAGGAGAGACATGTGGGTCCCCCGCCAGACAAAAGGTTCTCACAGACCTTCAGTAGGAACCTTTCTTTGGGTGGGCCTTTGGTTCTTCCCTAATATCTCTCAAACTATTTCTGGTTTTGCTGGTATGTTCTCTTTAGTTCCGGGCTTCTGTGAGGAACCGCTGCCAAAAAGAACGCAAACTTGAAACATCTTGAAACTGGTGGGTCAACTTCTTCATGAGTCCGAGACAAGTTGAGCTTTTCTTTGGCCGTCATCTGAGCACGTAGGGTCTCTTTGAGGAAACAGTGCTGTCATATTCCCAGCGGTGCCCTTGGTTTCCTTTTGGAGGATCCAGAACTTTACCAAATGTGGGACTTCCATTTTCTTCAGAATATGCGCAATCTTCCCCTGTTGGTTTTGAGTTGAGGCTGGAAAAAAGCATATGGATGTGCCTGTTTTGAAGATGCGCTTTGGGGTGGTTTAATGGGAAGCCCAAAGGAAGGCCAGCAAATTTGCGGCCCATATCTGACACATGCCGCATGGCGATATGAGACCAGAACCTGACTCAGTACACGAAACAAATGTTGTCCGAACGGCTGTCTTTGGGAGGTTCCTCAAACCAACAAACAAGAGGCTTCCAAGAATAGAGCGCCCAAGGAGGTAAACTTTAAGAGCTTCTTTGAGAAGACCATCTTAGTGGCAAACGAACAGTTTGGGTACTTTTGTTGGACCATCCACTCGATCGGAAGTGAGCCCATGAAGGTTCCGTTGGGGGCTGATTTGAGCCATTCGTTAAGGAGCGGCTGATGGATTCCTCACTGTTGGTGGCCTGGGCATGGCTGCTGCTTCTTCTCGCCACCGGGGCGCCTTGGAAAACGAGAAAACCGGGGCCTTGCAAGGATGGCTCTCAACATATTAGGGTCTGTGTCAAAGGGATTTGGACCCCTGTCCAAAAGAATGTGTGTTTCTCAAAATAGTTAGGTATCTGTCGTTATTTTACCACAACAGCTAAAGGCTATGGGGTCTTTGTTTAAATCTCCAAGTGCGGAGTGGTCCAGAGCAGCTGCAATGGGTTCAAGAGGTTTGTGGCATAGGGATTCCCCGCCCCCCCCCAAAAAAATGTGTTGCTTCCGGCTTCTCATTAAACGAAGTTAAACAAGGTCAGTACAAGGGTTCAACTATGTCTTATGTGAGCCTAGATCCGATCGGTCCCATTTGTGCTCTCAAAATAGGATGCCTCTCTTTTTGGAAGGTCGAGTTTCCGGGGCTCACAACGAAACAAAGACGGACGCCCCTGTTTGGATCAGGGCGGAAGCGGGGTGGGTGGGTGGGCGGGTGTGGTTTGTAAACTCACTTGTCCGACGTTGACCGGCTGTGATGTGAGTTCATGTTTATTCAGGGGCCCAAGTTGGCCCAAGGGTTAAGCTTTCGTTTCCATGTCTTTCATGTGTTTGAGCAGGCCTATTTTGTTTAGCGAGCTCACCGATTTGGGGGTAAAACGAGCCCACGGCGATGCAGGTCTTTTGCTCGGGGGTCCAATTCTTATTTCAGGTTTGATTGTTTGTCACAGGTATGAAATGCAGCGAAGCAACTGGGTGTGTTATTCCAAATAAGGCACCCCAAACACATTTCAGTTCCTTTATGTATTCCCCCTGAACCAACCTGAAACGGGTCCCCCCAAATGCTCCTTTGCGAAGGTGATCCTGGCGGTCCAGTTTCGCTTCCTTCGTCATTTGCTGGAGCTGCGCCGCAAGCAGAAGTGACTCGGGCGCGCGCCGGTGCGTGCGGCGCGGAAGCGCCCCGGGGCTAGAAGAGCGTGTGGGCTCTTCCCGCTGGCGGTTGCCAGCCAAATGTGCCAAGTGGACCCTTGTAATGGGACAGGTTGTACAACCACAAGGCTTGCCAACGACAAGAGCCATGGCCCGTACAAGGCCCATGGCATATATGGTTCCTTGGATTCTGTGCTTCTTAGAGTTTGGGCGGATGCATGACCTACAAGTTTGTTCTCAAAGGTGACGTCTAAGTTCGGTTAAGAAACTACAGGAACGAACATAGAGGCAGAGTGGGCAGCTGAATCGGAATTAAACTGAATTCCCGAATTCGCCTGCGAAGAATTCAGTTGGAAAAAGTCTCCGCCCAAAGCTTGCAGGCAGGCCAGACAGAAGTCTAGGTTTACTTGGCTGTGAGTCAAAAAAAGGGTAACCCCAAAATGAAACCCTGGTAAATGGACACAATGACTAAAACCTGTGGTCCCCTGGTGGTGTAATTTTGACCCATACCCACTTGATGGTTTGAGAAGTCTCGGAGGACCAGCCAGCAGTTCTTCGAATCTATGCTTCATGATGCATACGACTAGAGGAAGTGAGCCGCCTAAAAGCGATCGGCTCAAACTTTTGCGCGGCTCTCCTGTTTTCCCCGTGCCGACGCCGCAGCCTGAGTCGCGCGGTTTCATTTTGACGTAAGCCGCAAGAGTGGGAAGGAGGGTGTGTGGTTCGATCGCAGGGGTCCCTACTGGGCTGTTCAGCTCAGAGAGATTCATACTCCAGGCAAATCACTTTGTAAGTCCACCGTGAAGAGTATACCCCGGTGGTTCTTGTGCGTGTGTGTGTGTGTGTGTGTGTGTGCGTGTGTGTTTGTGTGGGTGGTAGCCATCGAGCAACTTGCTCAGCATCCAGGTACGGGTTCTGGAAAACGACTACAGAACACGTTGTTTTTGGTGGTTGCCTCTTCTCCCTGTTGGTGCTTTGCTGCTTTTTTGGTCGGCTGTCGTACTCTTCTAGCAAACGGAGGGATGAATCCACGACATCCATCGCATCCAAGCCACAACCTGAACAGGTAATATCCCGGCTCAAAGGCACTCCATCCCCATGAGTGTTCACAAATGGAAATATATGCTCTGGACTTTTGACAAGTCCTAAGAAATTGTTTGGGAAGTGTCCTTCATGGAAACCAACAGACGGCTTCTCGGCCAAGTAAGTGGTCATCACCCATGAAGGTTCCGTTGTTAGGGGGATCATATTTCAGGTTGAGTCATTTTGAAGTCAGACGCACTTTCTGGAAGCCCAAAGCCCCGTAATCTCGAGGGACCGCTCTGATCTGAGTACCGAAGGAGCTGGGTGGGGTACCCATGAGCTTAGCAACTTGGCTGGGCACGACTGAATGATTTTAAGTCTGCCGGTCTTTACCGCGAGACATGGAGCCTTCGAAACTCACGAAGGACAACGCAAAAAAGGTCAACGTCTGGCAACATCTCACATGTTTGGCCTTGTGGTAGAAACGATGAAATGTCCAAGGTTTAGGGTTGACGCCTGAGTTGAAGACTTTCAACTTCTTAAGACCATGTCAGTGTCAAACCACACGTGGAGGAGTTTTTGTTTGGCCAATCCGCTGGATCGGTAGGGCTGGGCCGGTCTTTGTGTCCAACGACCTTTTGGGTTGCAACCTTGGGCTTGTGGGGCACCAAAAGTTGGTTCCCTAACGGTAACCTAAGGAGCTAAGGAGGTAGCTACTCTATAGAACCTCACTTGGTGGGTCCTAGAAAATTGTCCACTCAAGTGAGCAGTGGGAACCCCAAATCCAAGTAGAACCTCTGGCTGATTTTTTTGGAGGGTGTCCCCTTTGGGAATCCGGATCATTTTTGTGGGCACCCCGCGACTAGCTGGATGGGTTCTACTCAAGTTGCTTAGATCTGCGGTTCGCATTATATGGGTCTGCGTCAAAATAGGGGTTCGGACCCCATTCATGGATGTCAGGTTTGCTTTTGGTTTCCCTTTAAAGCAACCAAAAGGCCTCAACAGGAACACGCGCACACAAACACACAAAGACAGACACACAGACACAGACACACAAACAGACAGACACAACCACACAAACACGCAGACACGTAGACCCACAAACATACAGACACGCAAACGTACACACATGCACCCAACAAACCGACACCCAACACACACCAAAAATGCCTGGGAGAGCCAAGGCCATGATCTGTGAGGCTGCCTCCGTGTTTGGCAACAACTTGTTTGGCAACTCGGCTTGCAACAAGCTCCCTCCTCAAACCTTGGTGGCTCACAGCCATCCGGTTCGATAGCTTTTAGCCTTTTAGTGTTTAGTGGTAGCTTGCATTTAACCAAGTAAAAAGTTAAACTTTTAGTGGGGGATCTGAGGGCAGCCCAGAAACGCCTTGTTCTTTGTGTGTGTGCAATATGGTGTTTGTCTCTCGCATATTTGGGTCTGTCTGACAATTTGTTGCAGGTAGCCCTTGTTGGTGGCAAAGGGAATGAAAGAGGAACACCATTTTTGTGGGGTCTCCTCAAAAACATATATATGTATATACCTAGGCTTTCTGGGTCCCTTCTTTCTTTCTGTTGTTTTTTTTTTTTGGGGGGGGGGCGCTCAACATGGATTGCTTCCGAGGTCCCTTGAGGGGTCGGGGTTCTCCATGTCCGGGGGTGAGCGGTCAAGAGCCTTAGGGTTAGCGACTTGGGATCTTGGGGTTCCTCACTCCCTGGGTTCCGTTTGGAGCTGTCACTTGGGGCTAGACCGTTTGGGTGGAATCTAGAAAGCTTGGTGACTTTTTGAACGACCAATCCAATCAGGAAGTGAGAAGGGCAGAAGGAGTATTTGGCCACCAGTGTAAGGGGACCCCAAAAACATCTTAAATGAACCTCCCTCAAATGGTTCGAACCACTTCTGACTTGCTGAGCCACGTTCGGTTTTCCATTTCGAAATTGAGTCGATTTGGTGTCTCTTATTTGTGGGTACTCCTTTTTGGGGTGCAACAAGGAAACTTCAAAGGTTCTTTTTTTTTGTGGGCGGGGGGACATGGGGCTGGTACTGGTGGGCAATGTGTTTTTGTTTTCTTTTTTGGGGGGAGAGGGGGTTCATGAAAAAGTCGGGATACACAACAAACCGGTGGGCTCCTCCTCGTTTTTTGTTTTTCTTTCTTTCTAAAAAGAAACATATTTGTTTTCCGTTGGCTTCACCAAGGGAAAAACGCGCGGCCCGGGCGCGCTTGCTGGACGCCCTTTTTTTTTTCTCTCGGCGCGCGAGGCATGTGGCTGATCTTGACGGTGCTGGGCCTCAGCAGCTGTCTCTCCATGAGCAGCTTGGCCTTCGCCAAGCTCTACTGGACCGGGATCGATCCCGGATCCGGGGCGCGGGGGGCCCGGGGCGTGGGTGTTCACCGGTTGGGCCAGGGGTCCTTGGTGTCCCTTCCCCAAGAAAACAAAGGAAGCAAAAGCAGGACGCCTCAAAAAGACCACAGCCGTGCCTTTGGAGTTTCAAACATTGGCCGATTTGAAGCGAGATTTCGATAGGAGTGATATACTTGGAGGAGAAATGTAGGGCTTACAGTACACCCGGCAGTTCAAAGGCAGTTACGAAAGGGGTCCCCTTTGTAGCAGTCTTTCAATAGGGAGTATGAATCAGACAGGCCAACCGCCCATTTTGTGGGGGTTCTCAAAACTGTGTTGGGGGTTCTTTTGAAAGCAGAGAACCAGACTAGAGCCGCTCCAAAGTTAGGTATTTTCCTCACCAAGCGGTAGGGATTGAACAAACCATTGCATTACCTATGACTCTAGCGGTTCATTCCCCATTCTTTTCAACCATCGTTTTTTCGAAAAAAAACCGGCCATTTTCCCTGGGTTTCCGGAGGTTTTCTAGAAAGAAGGATCCCTGGAAAGAATGGGGAAGGTACCCGTAGAATGACCTATCTGGAAGTTTGAATCGCGGACCAAGCGTGGAACAGGATCAGAGGGCCAACGGCGGATCGGGGTTTCCCGGATCGAGGATGTGTGTGGCTCGTCCCTTGCAAAAGACCTCTTCGGTGTGTCTCTTTCAGGGAACCTCTCTTCCACAAAATGGCGGTTCACCTCTTCGTTTTCCTCTAGAACCACTTAAAAAAAGAGGTACCCCTCTTAGTTGGTAAAAGTAAACTCAAAGGAAAACCGAGTTTTTCTTGTTTGCTTTTTGTTGGGGAGGAGGGGGTTCCCTCATTTCGAAGATGCAGGTGGGCAAGAGTGTTCCCTTCAACCTCTTGCTTGGGGCCGTTGAGGTCAACCCCATTTTCCCAGTGGACAACTGAAACAACGTGGAGGGGAACCACGCAAAGTGTAGGGCGCGAGAGGATGCACAGGTGTCCTTTTTGGTGGATTTGGTACAAGAATAGAGGGCCCTGGTTTACCTGGTGGTTCAATCAACTCCCAGGACCGTCTATTTTCTAAAAAAGGCCACCTCTGTTAGGATGCGAGTCACGTTTTGATGGATCCGTTGGGCTCTGTACCCTTTTTCTCCCGTTTTCCTGGAGGAATCCCAGCTACGAGGTGTGGAAGTTCAAGAGCAACCCAAAGTTCCCGAAGCCGGAGAACGTCCGCACCGAGGCGACGGAAGTTTACTCGGTGCCCTTTTGGCCTTAATGTTTGAATGAACGCCGGAAATCGGGAAATCACATGTTTGTGTGGGGGGTTGGCGTTTCCTGTTTTCGACACACCTGGGTCACCCAGACATGTTTGGTATGCAAGAGCACAGGCGAATGTGGCAGTCTGACGCTTGAGCTCAGGTCAGGCCAGGCTCGAAGCCATGGGCCGGGCCGCATGAGTTCTGACAGCCAGCCGCCGCAGGAGCTTGCTGATTGGCTCGCAAAGCTCAATCTTTCGCACTACCTGGATGCTGCGTGTGAGTGGTGGGTGGCAAACGGCGCCATCAGCTTATCCGAAGTGTTCGAGAACTGGGAGGTCTTCGTCGCGGACCTGGGTCTGAAGCCTTTGGAGCGGAAGCGAGTGGAGAAGGATGTGGGCAATGCTCAGCGCTCTGCGGTCCAGTCTTGTCATCGCCTGGCGCATGAAGTTTCGGACTGGCTGCAGGAGCTGCACCTGAATCAGTATGCGGCGCCCCTGCTGGAGTGGTGCGAGGAGAATGGCGCCTCCACTATGGAGGAGGTCTGGTCCAGTTGGCAGGACTTTGTGGAGGAGCTGGGTCTAAAGCCGCTAGAACGCAAGCGCATTGAGAGGAATGTGGCAGCCAGAGCGGGCCCCAAAAATCTGCAGCTCACGACTTCCGGGGACAAGGGCAGGGGCATGTTTGGTCCGCCAGAGGATCCCCACATGTATGCCTTATTGGAGGAGATAGGTTTTGGCGTGACCTCGAAAGTATACAAGTGCAGGCGTGGCAAGGACACCTTTGCAGTGAAAGCAATCAGCCTCAAAAAGCTCCGGCATCAACCAGGCTTCGCGCGTGTTTCCTATAGGCTGCATCAGGAGATAGAGATCCTGCTGTCGCTGAAACATGAGCGCATCGTCAAGCTGGTGGATGTCGTGGAAGAGTATGACTGCCTCTACCTAGTGATGGAGCTGGTTTCGGGAGGGGAGCTTGGAGAGTGGATCGTGAAGAAGGGAGCCTTCTCTGAGCTCATGGGTCGCTACATTTTCGCGCAGATCTCGGAGGGCCTGGCCTACATCCACTCCAAGGGCATCATTCACCGCGACCTAAAGCCAGACAACATTTTGGTCGATGAGGATGCCTCGACGCCAGACAAGCTCCAGGTGAAGCTCTCAGATTTCGGCCACTCACGGCTTATCAATGACGGCTACACTACCCGGCTCACCGCACGCATTGGCACTGCTATGTACTGGGCACCCGAGGTCTCGGATCCTACTCGGGCTTCACTGGGCTACGATCAGAGCGCAGACTTGTGGAGCTTGGGCGTGGTGTTGTACGTGATGCTGATTGGCTTCTTCCCTTTTGACAACGGGGACCATCTTGGCTGCCAGCTGCAGCGGGATTTGGAGAACATGACCTTTCAGCGGCGATCTTCAGGGCCAGAGCTCAGCCCAGATGCTAAGGACCTGCTTCAGTCGCTGCTGGTGATTGACCCCCAGCAACGGCTGCCTCTGAAGCAGTGCCTCAGCCACCGCTGGACCTCCGGCGAGCTCGACAGCCGCTTGGAGTACATGAAGCTGGCCACGGATCCAAACCCCACGGCCGTGGAAGTCCGCGTGCCCCTCGTCGTCAAGCCCGACGCGGAGGAGCTGCAGCTTCTCCGCTGCGATCTGCAGAAGTGGATGTACAAATTTCGGCGCTTCGCCGCCATCCGGCAGGGGGAGGTCATTGCAAACCTGGGCGAGGCGAGCCAGGCAGAGCTGCCTGAGAACAAGTCCGCCCGGCGGGAGCTGCAAGCCATCGTGGAGCGCCATTGCGGGCGTGGCATGATTGTGGTCAACGACCAGAAGATGTGGACTGCAATTGCCGAGTCAAAAAATGAAAGACTACACTGCCCTGTGCCCCAACTAATCAGAAAGGATATGCCGCAAATCAGCAAGGATGTGCCGCAAATCAGCAAGGATGTGCCGCAAATCAGCAAGGATGTGCCGCAAATCAGCAAGGATGTGAAGGATGTGAGGCCTGAAACTGAAAGTCACGTAGAGGCTGTCTCCGACGCAGAAGGCGCTCGCTTCGTGGTTTCCGCACTGCAGGGAGTTTGGGAAAGTCAGCGTGATTCGTCCGAGCTCTATTTTGTTCAAGGCCTGGACGTGGTGCGCCAGCAGAAGAGCAGTGGTGGGGTGCAAAAGCGGCCGTTTAGCCTTCGCTGGAGCGCAGGGAAGCGCTGTTTGGAATGGGGCAGCGGCAAGTACTTTCTACAACCACCTTCATCACTTCCGATGATGGAAGCAGTTTGGCTTGCCAGCGATGGTGGCAGAGGTTTTGCATGGCGGAGGTCTGCAAAAGGTGGGCCCGCGAAAGGGGGGAAGAGCAAAGGCAGGTCGCCAGAATGTGAGGACCACGGGGCCAGGCGAGCCGGCACCACCTTGAGATATTGAATGGCTGCATGTGCATGTGCATGGCATGTGTGTTATGTGGACCTGTACAGGTTTCACCTGAGAGCGGGAGTCACGCAGGGTCTTCCGCCATGGCGATCTTAGTTGGCATTTGGTTGCCTTTGAAGGTTTGGCTTCGATTTCAAGTTGGCAGGTCTCCAGAGGAGGCATTGCTACTGGCACGGCCGCACACACCATGATATCTATACCCGGAGACAAACAAATGATCAATATGAAATACAAGAGTACAGTCGAATAAAGCTGCTGAGAAGAATTCTTGGTATAACCCCGGCAAAACTGGTGGCTTTCTTTTGGGAATCCCTAGGGTAATTCCGTAAACCACAGGGGACGAGCTGGAATGACCTCCTTGAGCCTGAATCATTTTCTCGGCATCTGGTTCCTTCCGGTTACGTTCCCATTCCTGGTCCCAACTTTGGAGAGGGCTGCAACTTGTGCTGGCCCTCCTTGATAAAGTCGTCCAAGGCAATTTTGAGGATGTCTTTTCACACTGGATCTGGTTATGTGCTGCTGAATTTGCATATGATACTTGAATACCTCAGGGACTCCAGGTGGCTGTGGCTCAAAAATGGCGCCCACTCATGGAAACAAAATAATTCCTGCGCAACCCGGCTCTTGATTTTCGAGGCGCAGCCTGGAGATATGGGTACGGGTCAAAATTAAACCACCAGGGGACCGCAGGTTTGAGTCCATGTTTCCATTGAACCAGGGTTCCATTTTGGGGTTACCCTATTTTTGTCAACCACGGCCATATGGGGTGCAATACTCCGTAGATGAGTATGAGCAAATAAATCCGTGCATCCCATTTCAGATGGCCCTCGCGTTTCGATTTTTCAGGTCCTGCTTACCATCAAGTGCATCTCTCTCTCCACCATGCTGCCCGCTCTGTCTCTGTACCTCGCGGCTCAGGACTGACTCGGGCTTGGGATGGTCAATCCGATGTCAGACCGCCAGAGTTCCTAGCACCTGTGTTCGCCCACATGAGTTGCTCACCAACATGGCGGGCGGGCATGACATTCAATTGTTTGGACCCTTAGGTGGACATTTGGACATTGTTTGAATTCGGAGTCATCCCATGTTTGGCCCCGGAGAGCAAGGAATCTCGTGCCATGGCCTAGGTGATGTTGTACCGCCACAAAAGAACGGTCCAAGCTGCTGCATCTAAGCCCCCCCTTACAGTTGGTCACTCCAGGATCAGCATTGTTAGTGTGGTTAGGTGCTATGAAAGTGAGAAACCACTTTCGGAGGTGACTTTGATGATACAATCATAAGGTTAGTCACCCTTCGCGCAGGAATTGTGCCGTCTACTGTCACAGGGTACGTAACTGCACAAAACACGCCCCGAACCCAACCCAACCCAAGCCCCGCTACCACCCCATGGTTTGATAGGGCAGTATTCAAGACTCTCTAAAAGATGTAACCATCAGCAAGAACGACAGACATTCGTCACAGGAAACGGGTTCGAAGACGCCTGTTCCTATCGCTTGCGCCAAAGGATGTGTGTGGCATCCTAGAACCCATTTGGCAATTTGGCATTTGTTTTTGATCAATTGGAATTCTCGCCCAAACATGGGTTGGACAGAAATCCCCATGTAGATGAGGCCATCAAAGGGTTCCCCGTGCAAATTCATGGCATGTTGTCTGGAACCCCAGGCGTTGGTCCAGTTTCAAACTCCGCAGGGCAGGAGCCAGGCCTTCTGCGGCTGGGGCGGCAGGCCGGACGTTTCAGGACGCGGGTTTCAGGGCGCCGGAAGTCGGCGTTGGACCAACCCAACAGTCAGTGAGTAGTTCTCACTGGGGCATTTTGCCTGCACGCTCATAGCGCCCTAGGTGCCTGTTGGAAAATCGAAAGGCTGTGCTTGTGAGTGCCCAACTGGAGTTTCACTACCTGAGTTTCTGGACCTACTTGGCGTTGGACCATTTGCGGAACCAACCGTTTGGGAGTTGTTTGTTTTGTTGCACGCAAGTGGATTCAGACCAGTGGGTCGCTTCGTTTGTTCAACTGATTGAAAGGGGTGTCCCTTTAAAATCGAGTATTTCAAATCCGCTAAACAATCGTTTGGCTTGGTGGTTTGGTACCTTCCCATTTGGTTTCAAAAGGTACTGGGGTTCAAAGCCCCAAACCACCAATCCAAACCATTAATTAGGGGGAAGCAGAACAAAAAGAGAGGGAGAGAGAGAGAGAGAGACAGGGGGCGACAGAGAGAGAGAGAGATGTCAAATATCATGTTGCACTACTTGTCACTTGTGCATGCATGATGTACACTACCCGACTGCAGGCCTTGAGTCTACCAGGAAAAGAGTGCATGCTGGCTGACTACATTTGTGTTTGTGATAACTGAACAACACTTGCACTAGAAGTAAAGTATCAACGTATTTTAACGTGGTAGCGGAGCTGAGATCCTAAACATAGGGGAGCTCCAGTAACAGCAGTAAGTACTACAACTGCACAGGCAACCAACATGCCCAACTACTACGACATGTCAGGAGAACCAGCAGCAGCATCAGCACAACCAACTACAGGAGCAGACAACGGGCCCACAGCAGAAGAGACAATAGGAGCCACAACTACGGGAACAACACAGGAGCAGGAAGACGTCCAAAGGCTACACAAATACAAACTGCCACCACCGTTCTTCACTGGTGACTACTCACAGTATGAAGAGTGGCTGTTCAAACTACAAGCATACCTCGGACTCATCGACCGAGACTTCGACATGGTGCTACAACTAGCACAAGCAGCTACAAGACAAATTGAAGATGCAGACATCAGAGCCCACATACGCGACCCTACACAGGCAGCAAAAGCAGTAGACCTCTCACGAGATCTACACTACATCCTCATCAACATCTGCCAAGGAGCAGCAGCTACAGTGGTTAGACAAAACCGCTACAATGCCAATGGATGTGAAACACTACGGCTTTTGCACAACAGGTTCAGCCTACCAGTAGGAACACGCAGTGTTGGCTACCTCACCAAACTACTGGAACCTACATTCAATGAAGCACAATTTGAAGAACAATTCCTACAGTGGGAATACGACATCAACCGCTACGAGAAAGACAACGGCACAGCACTACCAGATGGAGTAAAGATTGCAATACTACTCAACAAGACCAAAGGAGCACTCCAACAGCATCTCCAACTACGTGCTGGACAGATCACGAACTACAACGAGATCAGAGTTGTCATCCTGGACTACTACAAACACCATCTCTGCATTCTCAAGAGCGAGCTCAGCAGTTGGCACAAACTACAATGGTGGGACAGCACCGATGGACGTGGACAACATTTGGAGAAAAGGAAGAAACTACAAAGGCAAAGGCAAATATGGAGGCAAAGGACACTACAAAGGAAACAAAGGAAAAGGTAAGTACAGAAGCAAAGGCCACTACAAAGGATTCGACAAAGGCAGCAAAGGAAACTACAACAAAGGAGGATACAACAAGAACAAAGGAAAAGGCTACTCAGGATCCAAAGGACATGGATCAAGCAAAGGCTACAAAGGCCAAGGAAACTACAGCAAATCAAAAGGAAAAGGAAACAACAATTACACAACATGCCATCGATGTGGCAAACCAGGCCACTGGGCACAAGACTGCAGAGTGCCAGTATGGCACATAGGAGAAGGAGAAGAACTACATCCACTAGAACAAGAACAAGCAGATCACGACAACAATGAAGAACTACCTCAGGATGTGAACGACACTTGGGACTGGTACTACGAAGGAGAAGAAGGACAACACGAGGTGAACTACATGGAGGAGAACTGGAACGACTACGACTATGACAACAGCTGGGATTGGAATGACAACAGCTATGAGGACACTGCAAACTACATTGGAGGCATCAACGAGTCACACCTCACAATTGGACACATCAGACAAGCAAACTCACGACTACACAAGCACAAATCCAAATCACTACTTGGCAAGAGAACAACACACACAACATCATGGAACGACCACAGCAAGAGCTTTCAACAATTCCTACAAGAAGACAACACACAGCCACACTTTGATATAGCAGCAGCCAGACAACAACAAAGGAACAAGAAGATTGAGAACACTATCACACACTACATCATGTACTCCAACTTCAAGTCATACCACCACCTGCTGATCGACTCAGGAGCGTCTACACACGTTTGCCCGAAGGACTACGCACCAGACCTACCGCTACGACCTTGTGGAGAATCGGTTCCACAACTCTACACGGTTACCAACAAGAAGATTCCTGTCTACGGCATCAAGTACGTTCCCTACAAGCAGGACAACTTCAGGATCATGATACCCTACTACGTTTGTGATGTGAAGTACCCAATCCTCAGTGCATCAAGACTACTTGATAGAGGATATGGACTTGACTTCACTCCACGACACTGCACCATCACACATGGACAACAACAAGCACACCTCATCAGACACTCAGGACTTTTCTACCTACGAGCAGAGAAGATCGACATCCCTACAGGATTCGACATCTATCCAATGACTACAGACAGTGGAAAATCCATTGCTGTGATTCAACCTACAGAGAGAGCAGCACAACAACAAGAACAAATCGCACCACTCACACACACAGACCAAGGACTACGACAGATCCTTGGTGGAAACACTGACTACTGGAAACTTGATGGTGACTACGCCATCAGAGTACACAAACGACCACGCAAAGCACTATTCACACCACACAACAGTGGTTGCCCAATACCTGAAGAAGAACTAGATGATTGGCGACTAACCATCATCAACAGACAAGGGCAAGAGCAAGAACAACTACAAGAGAACCCAACACAACTCTCCAAGCAAGAACTACAACGAAGACTAGAAGGTGACAACTGGACTGGAGAAACCAGATTCAGAAGAAAGATAACACCTACACGCAGAGCAACATCAAAGACAACACCAACAAGGCAGAGCTCACAACCACAACGGCTAATGGACACACCACCAACCAGATCAAAGATCCAACTACGAGCACCACAAAAGATATGGAGACCTAAAGCAGCACCTTCTACAAATCTTGACACCGCACAACCAAAGGAGACAATCCACAGACCACTCACAGCACAGGAGGACAACCAAGACTACTGGGAAAGACAAGGTGAACACTGGATAAGACACCACACATCACTTAGAACAACTCTATTCACTCCAACAGATGGACCAGGACATCCACCAATCAGCACACTCGAACCTCACAGAACTACAATCACTCACAACAACTTTGGAGAAGTTTCCCAACGCAAAGATGACTGGACAGTCATGGGCAACGCAGCACTACCATTTCAATGGAAAGGATCAACAAGGTTCACCGTGAAGAAAGACTACGAGTACATCCAGGAGAACCACGATGAGGAACAACAACACGAGCATCATGAAGCACACAGAGCAATAGGACTACGACAACCTCAGCAGCCCACTCCACAACAAATAGCAGAACACAACTTGACACACCTACCATACAGAAATTGGTGTCCAATTTGCGTTCAAGGCAAAGGACGCCAGGACAACTACAAGAAACAACAATCACGACAACCCATCATCCAAGTGGATTTTGCCTACATCAAATCACAACAAGATCCGAAGACCATACCAGTCTTAACGGCAGTTGATGTTACTACACAACTGTGCATGGCGGTATTGGTTCCGGACAAACCATCAATGATGGACTACATGATCAACAACCTACAAGCATTCATCTTTGAATGCGGAAGAACACACGGCATACTACAAAGCGACAACGAAGACACACTCAATGCACTACTACAAGCAACAGCATCTAAAGTCGGCTCAATGACTGTACGACATTCACCATCCTACAGCAGCAACAGTCAAGGAAGCGTTGAGCGACTACATAGAACACTTCTCGGACAAATCCGCGTCGTCAAAGCTCAGGTTGAAAGCAACTACAGCATGACGATGTCCACAAAGCACTGTCTACTACCCTGGATAGTACGACACGCAGCATGGACGGTAAATCGCTACGTCATTCACTCAGACGGCTACACAAGCTTCGAACGCCGCTGGGGAAGAAACTACGAGCGAGCAATCTGCGAATTTGGCGAGACACTACTCTACCTTCCACCACAACACAAGAAACTCCCAAAAGCAGACCTACGGATGCAGAAATGCATCTGGCTCGGAAAAGTTTCCGAAACCGGAGAAAACTACGTCGCAACGGAATCAGGCGTACAAAAGGTACGAACAGTGCGGAGACTACAACCGGACTTCAAATACGACCTCGCACTATTGAACAAAGTTTCCGGCGCACCGTGGGCACCACGACGGAACACCTACAACCCATCGTTCGCAACACTGTTGGATGCGCAACTACCACCGTCAGAAAGAAGAAGGTCCACGCAAGATTCGGACAACAAACGAGCGCTACGGACGACATCGTTGCGGAACCCGCAACAAAACAACAACGCACCACACCACCTCCACGACTTCCGTCAACATCGACGTCAAGTTCACGACCACTACCGGATAGTCCGATGGCTACTTCACCAACCGGACGACAACATCCACCACTACCAGCACCACCTCGACAAACACTACGACGTTTAACTCCGGAAGAAGTAATGCAACCCACTAAAGCACAGAAGACCTCAAAGGACACTACAATCAGATCAACGGAGCAAGCAACCAAAGAACCACCACCACTACGACAGAAAATTAACGCAGTGACACTTCCCAACGGCAAATTCATCACACCCTACACAAACGACGACACCTCAGAAGACCAACCCATAATCTTCGACAACGAAGGTTACGACGAAACACAACTACTGGAAGGAATGAAACACGAGTCAAACCAAATGAAGCTACATGACGTCTACGACGAAGTAGATGCGTCTACCGTCGACGACAACGTCATCAGAGAAGCGATACCTACAAGATGGGTACACAGAAAGAAAGGACCAGGAGTGCGAAGCCGAATCGTCGCAAAAGGCTACACAGAGAAGATCGAGGACGAAGACTCCGTCTACGCCTCTACACCAATGTTCACGACACTCCGGACACTTCTCGCACTACAAATGTCACGACCAAACTGGATAGCGCGACTAGGCGACGTCTCTACAGCATTTCTACACGCACCCATCGCAAAAGACCACGACGGTAAACAACGTGACGTCTACCTTTGGCCACCTAAAGAACTTTGTCCACAACAGGACAAAATCTGGCGACTAAAGAAAGCCATGTATGGACTACGCAGTTCACCAAAAGCATGGCAGGACTACCTGGCTGAAGTGTTACAAAAGCTCAGCTTTGTAAGACTAAAGTCAGAACCTAACGTCTACACCAATGCAACTCGCGACTGCTACATCATGGTCTACGTGGATGATCTCTTGGTACTTGGTGACAAGACTACTGTCGAGGCCATCCAGAAGCAGGTCCTACTCAAGCACATCGGCTACCTCGAACCTGGCAAACCACAACAATTTCTTGGAAGAAACATCGACCACTTTGGCAACTACTGCAACCTGGGACTAAAGGACTCCTACATCGACAACATGATCGAGGAGTCTGGAATGAACAACTGCAACCCAGTGAACACTCGAGGAATTGCGCACTACAAACCGACAATAGAAGATGAAGCACTACTTGACCACGAACAACACAAAAGGTACAGAAGGATTGTTGGCAAACTACAATGGTTAGCATACACACGACCAGACATCGCATACTCCACAAAAGAACCAGCACGAGACCTCACAGCACCTACAGAACTCTCACAAAAGAGAGTCAAACATCTACTACGCTACTTGAACGGCACCAAGCACTACAAATTCACCATAGAACCAACAACAACACTCAGAGCAAACACTAACAACATCCTGGATCTCGACGTTCATGTCGATGCCGACTGGGCAGGATGCCCTACTACCAGGAAGTCAACTTCAGGTTTCAACATCATCTTTTGAGGAACAACAGTTGCATTTGCTACGCCATTTGCACAGGAGTCAATGAGGGACTACACCTCAGAAACTTCCTACTTGAAACCAACATTTGCAGCAAGCTAAATCTACGCATCCACACAGACTCCACAGCAGGCAAGAGCATTGCTACACGACAAGGCACTAGCAAACGAGCAAAACACATCGACCTTAAATTTCTCTACACACAAGACCTCATCAAGCACGACATCATCAGAATCCTCAAAATCAACACACTACACAACAGCTCAGACTTGTTCACAAAATACATTAGCAAAGAAACACTACAGAGGCTCATACAGAGCATTGGCATACGTGTTTAGCACTACGAACAACAACTGTTTCACAACTGTTGCACATCAATCACAACAGTTTGTATATGGCCATATGTAACTACCTGCATTTAAGTAACAGTAACAGTAACAGTGACTACAAGTAATAGTAATTGTAACCACCAGTAATTTGCACTTGCACTTTTGGCGGCTTTTGGCGGCTTGAGTCAACACTACATGTTGTTTTGTGTTTTACTACATGCCCGCATGTGCTTTTGTGAGCTAACATTGGCTCACTACTGTCTGCCCCGTTTCACTGCATCTCGATAGGCCGAACTACCAGCAATGGCTGGAACTACGCCCATGGATGCGACTACGCTGGATGTCATGCCGATGGAGGTTACTACATCAGCGCCAGAGACTACTCTGCCCGTCGAACAACAGGCTGGCAGTACTACACCGGACCGTGTTTTCACACCACCGGATCGGCAGGGCACTACCGACTCCGGCAGCATGGCTACTTTGGCCACTCCACCACCTGAGGCCTACAACTCCCTCAACTACAACTTCAATCACCAACTACCCACACCGGCACCTTTCTACAGACCCGACGACATCTTGGCACACCTCACTACAACTGAGAACAACATCCCCGACACTCCAGCGATCGACCCGGAGCAGAACTACTTCAGGGTCTACGCGGCTTTGACGCTCGAGGAGTTCCAACTACTAAGTCAACAACAAACTACACCCATCCCCGAGCTCAACTACAACCTACCAGTTCACGACCTACCTTCAGACCTACGGATGCCACACTACGACTCACTACCTCTTCACCTACGTCTTTCAGAGGCAGTCAACTTCTACTACTACAACCTTACATCACTACACCTCACAACCCAGTACACCAACTCGATGGTCATCATCCAACTACACATTCCACCAGAAGTTCTACTACGATTTGTCAGCGCTGGACAACTCGTCAACTTCTGCCGCGACTACGTGAGCCACATGATTTCCATCAAAGATGAGCACCACCTACCTACACGCCAGCTACATCAACGACTACACCGAATCACCTACAACTTGGACCAGATCACCACTACATTCAACCTGTCCAACAACTTCATTTGGAACTATCACACGCCCCTGTACCTACCAGAACTACTCAACTACTTCGACCAACCACAACAACTTCAAGACCACCACTACAAGTCCATCAACACGATGCTACACAGAAGTGCCACCTACTACGGCGTCACCCTCCTCACGGCTACAAATCTTTCCATGCAACACAAACTACTACTCCACAACTACCTCACTACCACCGGCCAAGCACTTGCACCACCGGAATGCGACTACAACCGCCTTCGTGGCGGTCCAGACTTCCTCAACGCATTCACTACCAACCACTATGCAGGCTTGGACTACCGCATCAGCCAAGTCCAGAACTACCGAGTCCAACACTGGACTAAGCACACCTGATCTCCAGGTGGAGCTGCAACTACGTGCTGTACTACGTCATCGTACTACGAGATGACTGAGAACCAACTAGGGTTCTTGTACAGCAATTTCACTTTTCTGATCATTTGAAGGTTAGACAGCAGCGCTGTAGATACCTACCTTCGGTCATCTTTTTTTAAGAGACTACATGCCTGTTCGCTACAGTAGCATCGGCAAACAACATGTGCATTCGTTTTTGCCACTACTGTCAATACCACCTTTTGGGTCTATGGTTAAAGGACACTACAAGGTCTTTTAACCAAGGGGCCGTGTCAAATATCATGTTGCACTACTTGTCACTTGTGCATGCATGATGTACACTACCCGACTGCAGGCCTTGAGTCTACCAGGAAAAGAGTGCATGCCGGCTGACTACATTTGTGTTTGTGACAACTGAACAACACTTGCACTAGAAGTAAAGTATCAACGTATTTTAACGAGAGAGAGAGAGAGAGAGAGAGAGAGAGAGAGCGAGAGTGGGTCTCTGGGGGTCTGGGTTTTGGGCAAAGTTGCGCTGAATTCTTCACGGGTCCCGGACCCTTCCGAGGTCCCCTAAGATTCATGACCAACGGGTCAATTCTTTTCGGAGGGCCATTTCCGAGCTGGAAGACGGGATGAGCAAAAAGGGGGCAACCAGCAATAAATCATGGGCCACCCACCCGAGTTGGACGTTAAAACCTTCCAAAGACCCGGGTCAATCCAGTCAGGCTATCTATGGTCTAGAGCACGCCGGGCACCGTTTCTCTTAAAGCCAGAGGACTCACAGATTTAAAGCCAATTGACTCTTGCAATGGGGCACCACCTGAAACAAGGAATGATACCATCTTCAAAATGGCTGGTGTCCGTTTGGTTTCCCTGCAAAACACCCACCAACTAAAGGTACCCTCGAAAAAAGCCACTCATATGAACACTAGCTGCTTGGCTTAAGCTTTCAACACTTCTGGGGTCAGACGCGACTGAATTGGGTGACGTGTGGGTTTAGGATCTCTCCGTTGGCATGGCTTCCTTTTCTTCCGCCACCCTAGCTCGTAGCCGCTCCGAACCACTGCATAGTAGACCGCAAAGCTTTCAACTGTTGGAGAATTCAGCAGAGCCATAACCACAATGAAAACCAATGAAGGTTAGTAGGTCCCAGCCAGGCAATATATGCTGATTTCGATTCTGTACATGTCGGGTAATACAAGGGCCTAAATAGTACTGCATGTGTGGGGTACTTTAAAACGATTTAGCCGCTCGCACAAGCACTTTCCGAGTGCTGTCCATTCGCCCCCGAAAATCCAAGCAAATCAAGGCACTGCGGGTACCATTTGATAGCCCTTGGAAGGTGCTGACTCCCCGAGTTCCAAAAAACCGGACTTGAGCGCCGCTTTGTGGGTTTGGAAACAGTCAAAAAAGTGGCCAATCCCCTCCATCCGAGTCAGGTTGCCTTTGGGGTTGGGTTTTGGGTTTGCGCCCTGGCTTGCCATACACGTGGAGCTTCACTTGCACGAAACCGGCATTTCAATCCACGGACGAACCCGAGCTTTTGAGACGGGCCCATGTTGATCAATCTTCCGGGCCCATGTGCGGTGGGACGCTGAGGTCTCTCACCTGGCACGTGGCCTCTGCTTTCGTGCTGGTGCTGGGTATCGACTTCTTCGAGCGCCGTGGCCGAGAGGAGGGCGTTGGTAACTTCCCAAGGTACCCATCTGGGGGTGGGTTTGGGGGGGGGGAGGGGCTTAAAGAGGTTGGCTCAAACAGGACAACCAAAGGGAGAACACCATCCAGGGGTATCTTAATCCACATGTTGAGGCATGGTTTTGTGCTGCATTTGAGGGCACCCCGTTTGGATGGTTTGAAACAAAAAAGGTGGCCACCCAAAATGGGAGGTGGTTCCAATTTCTATTTTGAGACACAACTTCCTTTCAGGGATTTAGGGAAAGCCTGGCAAGGCTCCAAAACGAGAGGGGACGCGGGACCCAAGGTCGAGGGTTTATTGGAGAATCGTCCCAAGACCGAAAAGTGGGGGCCCTGGCCAATGCCCCCCTTGGTGCATCTGCTTGTGGGATATCTTCCCTGGTAAAGTTTTGAATGGACCTCAGGCAAGGTCGACCCCTGATCCGCATTCGCATTTGCAATCAGAGGGTTCGCCCTGCAACGGAATCTTCCCCCAAGCGGGACCCCCTAAGAAGTAATTGCAGGGGCCCAGGTGCCCAAACAGAATCATTCAAAGGGTACGGGGGAGAGTTTCAATAGGTGACCCCTTGGAAACGACTTTTGAGGTGGCTCAACCAAAAGCTTCATAGCCACATATACGTATGGGTTTCCTCTGAAATGTCCTTGTATTCAGATATGAATGGTCTCAGTGTTGCCCTCCGCGAAAGCTTTGCGATGGATAATATCATTCGATTAGAATGTTGCATCCCCCAAGGGTAATGCCCCTGATGGCCCGAGACCCTCAATGAGGCGTGGCTTCTCAGTAGTGTGTGTGTGTGTGTGTGTTTTTTCTCCGAAAATTGGGGACAGATTGCTCCAAGTGGTTTCCTTTTGGCTTCCCTTGAAAGCCATCCAAAAAGGGTACCAGCTTGTCTCTTTGGGCTTCTCTCGCCCGCGCCTCCGCCGCAAGAGCGGCACCTGAGGTGGGGGTACCACTACATGGGTCACCAGGCATGCGGGTAACGCGTTCGGGCGTGTCTGAATTTGGAGGCTCCGTACCCTTTTTGGATGGGGTTAGAAGGGCAGCCAAAGGACACCACCCACTTTGAAAGTTCCGCCTGTTTTTAGATTGACCCATGTAATTTGCAATCGCTGGAGTCAAAGAAGGCCCTGGGAGTGTTGGTAGGGGGATGGGTGTCTTTTTTTCTGGAGCACCCCCTACTGTCAACCAGACAGGTTATACAACCATTGGCCTTCATGGTGGTTGCCATTTGCATATGTCACGGCGACTAGAGGTAGAAGGAGCCCACTGAGGTTCTTCAGATTCCTTCGTTGAGGAGTCAATTTGTAGGATTGGTAGATAGTTCTAAAAGTTGATCGCTTGATCCCCGTGCTTTTCAGCCATCCTTCTTTGGGCAAAACAGTCAGATTCCGCAGAAAGAAGGATCCCGAAATTGTAGCTCTTCACATTTGTGGATTGGGGATTTGAACCTCTGTTTCTTGTGGGCAACTGGGAAATCTCACAACCTCCACACCTCCTAACCGAACTCCAAATCACACGATTGCAGGGGTTTCCCTCTGAAATCATGCCAAAAAAGCTGCCCTTTTCCAGGGCGATCCACTGCCTGCAAGTCCGCGAAATCCATGTCAGATTCCGTCCATGTGGAAGCAGCACAAGAGCCACCACAAGCCGCGGCCCTGGAAATCATGAACCTGAGAACTCGCAGGATCCACTTTTTTTTCACCGAATGGGGAAGCACCAGCTCCCGTAGAAGGTCTTCTAACACGGGGTGGTTTTGGTTTCTCGGGCTGAATTCAGATGTCGCAACGGGCAGAGAATCGCCCTCTGAAAGGCGAGGCACGGCTTGGGATCCCGAGAATCAAAGCAGATCCAATGATTCTCCGCATGTTTGGTGGCCCCGGAACCTGCGGTTCGCCTCTTTGGGGGCGGTCGGGAACCTGTCTAATGGGCGGGTCAAAGGGAAACCAAAATGGAAATCGTGGCGCCATTTCTGGGGGGTCACCCAGTAGTGCCCTTTTACCCTATTTTGGGGGCGTGTTCCCCTACTGAAATAGACTACGGAAAAAGGGTACCCTTATTGGAAAGGGCAAACAGACTACCTATGAAAGTGCCCCTAGAGACAAACCCAGTTGTGGTTTGCTTGCAGATTTTGTTTTTCAACCAGGCACACAGTCTGCATGGCGAAAGCGATTCGATGTCGAGCAGACTTGCGCCCCAGAGATGCCGAGGTTCTTCAATCCCACTCCCTTTTCGGCCCGGCACCTGGCATCGATTTGTCCTCGTCTCGCTCGATTCTGGGGACCTCTGCGGGGTGCAAACAAAAAATGGCAATAGGGAGTGTGTGACTTTTGACTCAGTCATTATAGGGTGTGTGTGTGTGTATTTTAGGGGAATTTGACAGGTTTCCCTTTAAACCAAACCCCGCAAAGAGCCCCGCTAGAAAGGCAGGCTCATGATGTTTCCAGAGCCTTGGTGTCAGTTTCGATCCCATTTTGCTTTAAAACTCTCCGGGGTTCCGACGGGCCTCACGCTTTCCCCAGTGGAGGTTGAAGTTGACCGAAGCTCCGAGGGATTTTCCTGGAAGAACTGCGATTCCAACTTAGAAGAGACAACAAGCTGACTGGACATTGCTGAATATCCTGATCAATCCCTATTTTTGAACCTGGCAACTGGGATCGGGGTTCTCTGAAGTTGCGTCGCAACGAGTCGGGTGTTTGCCAGCAAAAACTTTGCTTCAACGCAGAGTTGGTTTCCCTGAGGGTCAGACCTGTCAAAGAGATGCGTATTCAGCAAAGCACAGCTTAGGTTTGGGTTCCCTCGATGCGGAGCGACCGCCTGTGTGACCTCAAGATCCATGTTTTCCTTCAACCCAAAACAAGCGCAGCCTTTTGCCCATGGCAATTGGTTTCGGACTCCGTCCAAAAAACTGGCGGGTGGTACACATGCTACCCCCCCCCCCAGGGACCTACCTTTTGGTTGCCTCTCCAGTGCATGATTTGCCCATCTAGGACTGGGAGGAACGATCTCTCAACTAGGACCAGGACCAAATGAGACTTGAACCCAGGATCTCTCAACTGGGACTAGGACCAAACTATGACTAGACGACCCACCTCACATTCTTACAAACAAATAAACTTCAAGTATAACTTCCTCTGTAATGTCCTGTATACTTTCTAAATATTGACATAAACTAGGGAGCAACCTAGCATTTGAACCAAGGATCTCTCATCTAGGACCAAACTAGGACTAGACCGTTTAACTCTACTTCTTATAGTATTTCGATGTCAAGTATTACATTCTGGTGGAAAGAAAGTCATTTTTAATATTTGGTGTGAAACATAATATCCATAAATTATGACTGGATATGTTCTTTATTTGTTTTTCTTCTTCTGCGGGTATGTCATTTTTGGGGGGACCCCCCGAAAATGGCTTAGGTTTAACATGATCGGGTTTCCTACCTGCGGTCCGCTCGGGTTTCGGGTTCCGGGTATTGAGCAAAGACGCGCGGCAGGTCATCGCGGACGAGGCGGTGGACCAGCTCATGCGCACCGCGCCCATGCTGCTCTCAGCCCATGCCCTCAGTCGCACTCGCGGGCTTTGGGCCTCGTGTGGCGAGGCGCAACCAAAAAAGGCTGGGTATGCTAGGTGAAAAATTGGGTGAAATGGATCGCAACGGGGATGATCTATTTTGAGCGCCCTTAATAGCGAGGAACAAACAATCCGAAGGTTGGTCAAAACAGATGGAGCAAAGGAGCGGATGGGAGGTTTCAGGAAAGAAACAGGGACGATGGATGGTGGATGGTTGTCCGGACTATATCTGGATCCAGTTACTCTATTCAGCGGCCAGATGCTTTCTAGTTGACTCCTATAATCACGCAATGTGCGTTGAATAGGCACAACCGGACAGCGTTGCATCTCCCAATCTTGAGAAGCCAACCTGACGCGCTAACGCGTTTGCTTTGTTTTTGTATTTGTTCCTTCATTGTTCTCTTGGTTCCAAAGAGTCCTCCATTTTCGTTTTCGGAGGACGCTTAGCAGGAATAGACGTGTTTGTTTCTCATCGTTTCATGGCACCTTTTTCCATATTGTTCCACGGCCCCTATCACGCACCCAGATTTTGTGCCCGGTTGGATCAACCGGGTCGGCGCGTTTGACCATTCGCGACGAGGTCGTGTTCCCGATCAACATGGACGTGCTGTTCGGTTGGGCGCCCAGCTGATCCGAACACACCCTTAATGTTGACCACGTATTAATAAACCTCCCCCCCCTCCCCCTTGAAGGTCAGACAGTATTTTGGGGGCAAGATTTTGGAAGGTTTTTGACATGCCTCCCCTAAATAATCTGGAAGCTTCCATTTGACTTAGTATTGGTAGACTTGAGTTTCCATTTAATTTAGTATTGCTGGAGCTTCCGTTTGAGATGTTTCTTTTGAATTTCCTTTGAGATTAGTCTGTTGAGTTTCTTAGTAGTGCTGGGGCTTCCTTTTCCTTTTGAGATTTGGATTTGAGTCTCCATTTGATTTAGTATTGCTGGAGCTTCCTTTTTAGGTTTTTCTTTTGAGTTTCCATTTGATGGCTGGAGAGATTTTTCTTTGGAGTGTCCATTTGATTTAGTATTGCTGGAGCTTCCTTCTGATTTTGTTTGGAGCTTCCATCTGACTCAGTATTGCTGCAGCTTCCTTGTGAGATTCTTCTCTTGAGGTTTCATTTGATTTAGTGTTTCTGGAGCTTCCTTTTGAGATGTTTCTGTTGATGTTTCATCTGATTTAGTATTGCTGGAGCTTCCTTTTGATATTTTTTTTTGAGTTTCCATCTGATTTTGATTTCCCATTTGATTTTGTATTGCTGGATCTTTCTCTTGAGATTTTCCTTTTGAGTTTCGTTCGAGATTTGTCTTTTGAGTTTCTTAGTATTGCTGGGGCTTCCTTTTCCTTTTGAGATTTGGATTTGAGTCTCCATTTGATTTGGTATTGCTGGAGCTTCCATTTGAGATTTGGAGTTGAGATTTGCTGCGCTGCTGGACCATATTAATAAGGGGGGTTATTATTTGGGGGTGCAATGGGCCCTTTGAAACCTTCTAAAATTGCCCCTTTTTTAGTAAGGGGTTTAGCAAGAAATCGACCATTTCAGAACCCTCGTTTTTGCTGTTTTTGGGCAGGCACCAAAGCATCCACCAAGCTTTAAGATGAGAGTAGGAGGTGCAAGGCCAGAGATTAGGAAGGGCCATGGCTGCAGAGTACATGCGAGTAGGAGGTGCAAGGCCAGAGATTTGGCAGGGCCATGGCTGCAGAGTACATGCCAGCATGAACTGCAAGCATGTGTCAATGTGACAGGCATTTCCTGCCATTTCCAGGAAATACGCTCAAGATGCAATAGAGCAAATGAGATAGCAGCAGCAACCTGCGGGAGGGACCGGTTTAATTGTTTTTTGTTTTTTCGGCAACTCTTGCTTCTATTTAAGGGGGGATTTTCTGAGTTATGAGTTGCTAAGTATTGGAGGAGTGCACCTGGACCGGTTTAATTGTAAACGCTTCGCGTTGCCCGCCTCGGCAAGTCCGCTTTTGGCTGGATTTGAGGTATACACCGTGCTTTGGTTTGCCTTGAAGTTTGTGTTTGCGTGAGATGGTTTCCAAGGTAGAGTGAGTTGTTCAAGTCGAATTTCGAAGTCGTTTTAGTAAGGTTGTATGTGCTACCAGGGCAGGCGGCAAGCAGTTTGTCTGAAAGAATGGCACCAAAGAGTAAAGCTGGCACTTGCTTCTGGGTTTGACTCGGAGGCCGGTTTTAAACATGGATTGAGCAGGTCTTCAAATAGTTGCTTGTCTTTTAATGAGAGTGCTGGGCAGCGGCTCAAGCCTGCAAAGTAATGCTTGTCAAGCGGATTCAGTGAACGCCCAGCTCTTTTGTTATGTTGCAGAGGCATTGGAATTTCGAATTGATTGCTGGCGCAGCGCGCTCTGGCTTCAATGGTTTGGGCATTGTCTTTAAGCTTGAAGCTCTCTACCTGTTGGCCTGCTGGGCCAAGTGGCGTAACCGGGATCAGGCGATGGCGGAATTCAGAAATTCAAAGGCTCGGGGAAAAATAACGATACTTGTGAAACTGGGCGTGGGCCAAGGTTGGACCTCCTGCTCGCCACACATATCGCAGATGCTTTGGTGAACCCAGCAGCCGCTGCCGGCTGAATGAGACCGGGCTTTGCTTGCGCCTTGTGCTCTACTTTTGGGTTGGTTTGTTTGGACTGGCTCATTTCCATGCTGTATTCGTGCTTGGCAAACATGATTGTGTGTGGGGTGGTGTGCTGCCCTTTCGGCTCAGTCCACAGCGCGGTTCTCGGATCGGCGAGGCAGCACACCCTGGACCTTGCCAATTTAAAGATTTTCGTTTGTGTATCTTGAATCCTACGGCCGTGTTTCGTAAGGCGCCTGCTTTCAACAAGCTTAATGTGCAGGTGTTGTTCCTTGCTGAGACCTCTGCCACAACAACCACACAAGAGTTGGAAACGCGTGAATTGCGTAAGTTTGCTTTTGAAGTCCAATGGGGGCATCCCGTGCAGCCATGTAAGAGCGACTACGCATTGCCTAACTCAGCTAAGCAAGGCAAGGCAGCGGTGTTGCCATTGCATCTCAGTTGCCGATCCGGAGGGTGCAGCCCCCGTTGCCGGTGGAGTGGGATAAGACTTGCCGTCATGCTGAGTCCTGGATTCGGTTGGGATCGCTGCAAGTGCTCTCGATTGTTGTTTATGCTTTCGTGGATGGGCCCGACTCTGTCACTGAGAATGCGATGCTGCTTGCATTTGCGTGTCAGCGAGCGTCGCTTTGCAGGTCAAGTGTAATAATCTCAGGTGATTTTAATAAGTCGCTTGCACATGAGCCCACATGGGCCAACTTACAACAGCTTGGCTTCGTAGACACACTGCAGCTCGCACGGCAAAGGTGGCCAAACCAAGTGGCCCCCACTTGCAGTGGGGCTACTTGGAACGACGCACTTCTTGTGCGTGGCCCGCTCTTGGCATACCTACATGATGCTACGGTCTTAACAGATCACGCGTTTGGCCCTCGCTTACCCTTCGTTGCTACGCTTCGTGTGCCGTGTCAGACTCTTGCCCGTCAAGTGTGGCAACTACCACGTGAATTCACGTTGCTACCGATCAACAAAGACGAAATTGCTCGCAGGTACCAGTCGCCTCCGTTTGAATCGCCGCCTGATGAGCCCGACCGTGAGTGGCATGCCCACAGACTGTGCATGTGGAGCCAAGCATGCGAGGCTGCAGCGACCCAGTCGTTGCCGGTTCAGGCCGACACTGGTGATGCCTCCTCCTCGCTACCTGCACAGTTCGCGGGGCGCTGTCGTCCTCTGGTGTTTAAGCGCAGGCAAGCACCGGTGCTTGTCAAGCCATGTGCCGACGTGTTTGCTAATCCGTCTTGTGATGTCGCTTCTTTTGATGTGACCTTAACTACCAGGCAGTTGAGACGATTGCGAACATACCATAGGACATTTCGTGCTTCACTGCGCCTAGGCACTAGCGAGGCGTAGACTGCAAATGCTGCAAGAGTGGAATGCCATTAGGAGGGCACGGGGTTTTAAAATGCCCTTTCCCAGATGGGCCGTTTTTCATGCTGGCTGTTGGTTTGATGAGCCTTCCACGACTCACGCGCTGCATTGGCTCTTTGACTTGATACTACTGGTCAAAAGCCAACTTGATGAGTGTATAAAGTGGGATAGGCTTTGCAGAGATGAAAATCTTGGTACCATGCTCACCTATGATTGGCATTGCGACAGTGGCCGCCTTACTTGCAAGATGCTAAAGCCTAAGGCTGTCACCTTGACAGTGTTCCATACGTGGCACTGCGTGCGGTCGCAAAGCAGGCCCCTCGGATCCGTGTGACGCGACCACACGATCTGATTGCCGGCGATGACATTTACATTTCTGGTGCCGCCCTCCCTTTGGCCTTGTTTATACAGCAAAGGCTTGTGAAGCCCGGCAATGAGGAAATGTGGAAGCTCGAGATATTGTTGCACACCAGCCCGAGGGCAAATATCAGGAACCTCCTCCTTCCTGCTTGAAGTTTTCAGGGATTCAGTTGTGGCTCAGTGACTCGGGCCTGGCTCTGGCATGGCCAGGGATTGACGGCTCGCTGGTGGTGTGGCACCGATTTGTGGAGAAATCTCTGTCTGTATTTGGTTTGGTTTTCGGAATCCAACCGCTTGCGAACAACTAAGGATTTCCCCGGTGATTTCAACAGTGAGCCTCTTAAAAGTCTCAGAAGGAGCTGCGTCACTAAAGTGAACGTTTTGTAATTGGCTGGCTCAAGCGCACCTTTCGCAGGAGGGGGGGCAGGGCAGGCCATTAATTCGAAAGGACTTTAAATCTGCTTCCAGGCTGTTTTGGGTTTGTGGTGTAATTTATCCATTGCGAGCTTGTGCATGGAGGCTGGAAATGCATTTGTGTTCCAGCCTCACTTGACAGATGCGCCGGCGATATCTCGGGTTGCTGTTGCGTTGTCCAAAGCCCAAACGGTGCGGATGCTGTTAGTGTACCAGCGGATCTGCCACACAGAAGTCGTACAATTAAGGAGATTTTCTGCAAGCCCACAAGGTCCACATTCTGAGTGCGTTGATGTTTCGGATGCGCGCAGCGGCCTGCAGCTCTCATGGGCCAAAGTCTTCTTCACTGAGATTCGTGCGAGCAGGATCACCAGGCCACGGTGGCCAACCCCCTTGCTTCCCTTCTCCGCTTTTTTTTCGGATCTAAGAACACACTAGGAAAACATGAGCGGCTGCAAACGACAGCTTCAAGTGGGAATTGACAGCGCCGTATGACACGCTTCTTCGTTTCTTGTGAGGCAAAAGCAAGAAGGCCGATGTCCACGCGAAGCTTGTGGCCGCCGACGTGGACGCTGACCAGGCCAAGGCGCATCAGACGCTGATGGAGAGCCGGCGGACGCCGAGGCGCTTGGTCTGGCCATGCGTTTTATTGGGCCAGCGATTAAACCCTTCAGGGTCGTTAAACTGAGTTTCCGCAAACTAAGCACACTCAACAGATTGGTGGCGCGTTTTGGGTCCCACTACTCGGGTTTAACGTTCGACGTGTGCAGTTGACCAGATGCTTGTCCGCGTCAAGAGCAGATTGTGAACCATCCGGCGCTACACAGCCAGCATGTTCTGGAGATGCCCAGGTGCGGGGCATTGTCTCTTTGTCATTGCTCTAGCATGGCCAGGGCGCAGCAGACAGGTAGAGTGCGTCAAGAAAAACTCAGACCGTCTGGGCCCACCTCCGTGTCAGATGCTGCAGTCTGTTGCCATCCAAAGGTTTATCGAGATGTGTTTCTCACGGAGCACGGACTAGATGGGAAAAGAGGCGGATGGGCCCTGTGGCCACCTGCAGCTCTCATTGGTTTTAGAGTTATCTCATGCTGCCATGTCTGACGATGATTCGGCCGGCGCCATTTCAAACAGCCCCCTGCTGTTCGAGAGTAGTGCTGATGATGACGAATATCGGGTGGCTCTTTGGGGCAAGAAGGAACACAGCGACGCGGCAGTGGCAGCGCTGCGCTGCTCGCGCCTGATACTGACACAGAGGATGCTTTGGTAGTGCCCAGCTCTGCTTCAGATTCAGATTCGCATCGGCAGCCTCTTCGGCGGTCTTGCAAGCGCAGGATGGTGCCGGAGTGTATCCTGCTGGTGGTCGCTGCCAAGAACATGCTGTGGAGGATAGAGGGTTGACACAATCATTCCGCGGCTCTTGTTGGTTGACTTCTCTCCTTGAGCGCGAGTTGACGCATGAACAATTGCAGATGTCGCGGCTGTGCAGTTCAAGCACATTTTCCACGCATTGCAGTGGCATCTTGTGCAAGAAGTAGGCTGTTGCCATTTTTGAGTTGAGTTGGTGCTTTGTGCAACCCACCCGGCCATCGGGCCTGCTCTACGCAGTCTTGTTGCGCAGCGTTGTATAAGGTATCGGACGCCCTGAGCTAGCGGCTGACATGTTGACTGCGCCAGTCTGCGGCACCTTCGGCCTTGCACCCGCCCTCCGGCCGGTTGGGGTCTGCGAGCCCAGCATAAATTCATAAACTTCACCAGCGAGGCGCTTGGCGCCGAATGGCCGATGCTCGCTGCAATCATGGCGCTGAAAAACACGTTCGGGGCAGGACAGGCAGAAGGGCAGGCAGGGGAAGCAGGCGAGCGAACAAGCAAGCAAGCAAGCAGGCAAGCAGGCAAACGTGCGAGCAAGCAAGCAAGCAGGCAAGCAAGCAAGCGGGCGAGCAAGAAAGCAAGCAAGCAGGCAAGAGAGCAAGCAAGCAGGCAAGGAGCGAGCAAGCAAGCAAAGCAAGCAAGCCCGCAGGGTCAAGCAAGTGGGCGAGCCCGAGAGAGCAACATAGCAGGTAGGCAGGCAGACAAACAAGCAAGAGGACTTTCGAGACCGCTTCCGAAGTGGTTGATGGACATGAATCCCCAATAAGTTACGCCCACAATCCCCTATTAGACTTAGCATTTTCTAGCTTTGTGTTCATTCGAAAGTACTTGGGTGGCAATTCTTGCGGTCGTCCGCTTCGTAGCTTTAGCACCCAGCTTGTTTGACCTGAGCGCTTTGTGCTCAGTCTAGCCCAGGATGCTTATCTGCAAACCTCCTCCAGCACTTTCCCGGTCTTGTCATCGATGACGAGTATGCGCGCTGCGCGGGGGCACCTACCGTGGACCGTGGACCTTGCGCCTGCGCACGGCGCAATGCTCTTCTGCCCGCTGATGGAGGCAGATGGCGATTTGTGTGGCACTCCGTGTGAGCTGTGGAGTACTGCCGGCTTGAGGACAGCAAAGCCAGTTTTGCACATCACTAGACGCCGCTCATAAACAACCAGAGTTCGAGTTTGGAAAGCCCTTTGTCAGCTGGGGGCTAAGGCAAGTCTGCCCCCGCGAGTTAAAAGGTTGGGCCAGCAAATGGGGTGTCATTATGTTGTTGCAGCAGCGCTCCATTAGTCGAGCAAATCACAGAGACCTGTCCTGTTCATAAGACACCAGCAATGTGCTAGGAGAGGCCAAGTCAGGCGTTTGCCATTTGCAGGAGTGGAGGATAGGCAAACGGGAGCTCTCCTGCTGTGGCTTCATTTTGTCGAAGCTGCGGGCGATCCATGAGAATGTCCATCGCTTTCAAATCTCTCATCAATGATGCTCTGCAGCAGTGGTACTGGGTGTGGCACCTCAAGGTCTCGCCAAGCGATGGCGGGTTCGGGCTGATCAAGCGAGCCAGGGTGTCATTAAGCGGACGGCGTGACGTAGGCGCCTTACATGGCGCAGTCTTGCAATGCTTTCATAGACATGCTCCGAAGCCACGATGTGCGGCTTGTTGACAGCTGAAAACGCTGCTCGTCTACGAGTTGGCTTGTCAGAAGTTTCAGTTGTCAGGGAGCTGGGGGTATCTGCTCACACCTGCGCAGCAAGAGTATTTGGCGAAGCACGTGGCATCATGGGCTCTTGAAAAGCATCGCGACCCGCGCTGTGATCCTGATGCGATCTTTGATCTATCGCAGAATCCTGCACGTAGACCGTGCCAAAGCTCAGTCGGCGCTTTGCTGTGTCTGAGAACAGGTTCTTGCTTTTGGGCGTGTAGCCGGAAGACCCGCTTAGAGCTTATGCTGGCAACGGGCATGCCAGCAACTTGTGAAGCTGCGACGAAAGCCCATGTCTCGCAGGAGACTGAAAGGCACGGCGCCAAGGAACTTGGGAATGCCATGCGCTGCTTTAACGTTGGTGTAATTGTAGGATGCACGCTGGCTTCAATGGCTTCAATGGAAAAAAGGCAAGTGCCATTGCAGCTTCTGAGCAGCTCCTTTTTTCGACTTTCACTTTGTTGATGGCATGGTTGTAGGGACAGATCTGAGGGTGGGCGCCTGTCTGCGTGTTTCTACATGGCTTCAAGGGCCAGAACGAGAGCTGCAGAGAGCTACAGAATGGCAGTGGGCTTGGGCCAAGCGAAGGTGAATCGGACTGGTTTCTGGGGGGATTTGCCGGAGTTGGACCTGTTGTAAAGGGGATTTGGCAGGTTTGTAGAGGGGAGGTTGATCGGTTTGTACGGTTTTTTGCGGGGGGCTGGATCCTAGGGATTTTGGCCGGATTCTAGGGGATTTGACCGGTTTTTCGGGGTGATTTGGGTTGGGGATAGGGGTTTTGGAGGGGGGAAATAATATGGAGTCAACATTGGCCGTTGCAAGGGTGGACTGGGTCAACGTTTCAGACTATCTTACATCTTTTTTCCTCGAATGATGAACTCAGAAGAAATATATGCCGCTTCCTGTCACCCAGCAATAGAATGGCGTTCATAATTAGAACGCGGCACGTTCAAACCATGCTGGGGCCAAAAAGCCTTGCATCACATTGGAATCATGAGCATGGCGTGGGGTACTTTCAAACCATAGTAACAAGACAACACGTGTACAGTTGGGTGAAAGTGCCCCGATTTGGGTTTAGTCACCCCCTGTACCTAACTACCTAAAGGGACATGTGCCAACTGCTGTCACCTGTGAAATTATTCAGTCCTACTAGATGAAACAGGCATGGCCAAGAAGCGCGTTTTTTTTTTGCCGTGTTTTGTTCTTCCTTGTGAGCAACGGCGTGTTCTTTTATTGCGGTGTTTGATTACGGCTCATGTGTCCAAATTTAGTGGACCCTCTTTGGGCTTTAAAGGGAGCCACAAGGAAACCAACCATTGCAGGGGAACGCTGTCTTGAGAAACGGCCCATAATAAGTGCTTCCAAATTGCAGAAGTTGGGCAGAAGTCTTGCTTGATTCTGAAGGGCGGAAAGCACGTTCGCTGGGTGCAAAAGAGGCTGAACACGTGTCTGATTTATTTATTTTTGCGACCCCTATTCAAAATCCCCTGAAGCTGAGGCCTCTTCGCGGTGATGTTCTACGCCTATGGCGTGTATCTGCACTCAGGCGAGGGCGAAAGGGACGTGAGTTCCGCGTAGCTTGAGGCGAAGCCAGCAGGGTTTGCCTTTTGGGGGAAACATCCCTTACAAATGGGAGTTGGGGGAAATGCCTGGAATCCATATCTGGCGCATTTTCTGGGGAAGACAAGATAAATGGTACCTCATGGCAGAGGGAGCCTCTTCAAATCAGCTAACCAGTAGTTGGTGGCTTGGATTGATGGGAAATGGGGGGGGGTGAGCGGGCCCCTAGTTCTTGTGGGTTAATGGGAAACCAGCCCGGCAAACCAGTTAGTTTCCAAGAGACAAGCGGAAGGGAAAGGAACCTCTCAGGTTGTCTCCAATCGCCTGTGAAGTCTGCACTTGTTAGAGTGAGACCACACAGGGGTAGGACGAAGTGATTCTAGGCAAGCCATGAGGGGACTCCTTAGTTCAAGACTGGAGCAGACATGTAATCTCCGTTGAACTGTTTTCACTAGACAGTTCACCACCCTTTGGGGGGAAGACACACATTCACCAAAACTGGAGGGGTGTTTGGGGGGGTGTTAGGAGCAATATGATTGATGGTTCATATTTCAGGCCACCCATCCCTCTCAGCGACCGCACAACCACGACATTCTTGTCAGCCCCCGGAACCCGCAATACTGTTCGCCATGTTGGATTCTTTTTTGGGTGGCCCGGGAAGGGCGGGGATTCCAACGCGCAGTCCAAACACGAGCGCGCTTCTGCCAGGCTACGAGATGGCCTGGCCGGATGCCCACCACCCGCCCCTTGGACGCCTTTGGCCTGCTCCAGCAGAGGCATCCAAGATGTGTGCCCCCAACTCGAATCCTTCCCCGCCAGATTTGCGACTTTGGGAACCCAGCAATTGACATGGAACCTCACTGTCATAGGGGGTGCCTTGAAAAGGAGAATTGTCTTCCAGGAACCCCCCTGTCAAGTTCCATGCGAATTGGTGGGAGGGTAATAATGTCTTCCACACTGTGACTGGAGCCTTTTGCTTGGTGAACGGGTCCAGTTTGCCACTGTATATTTGTTTCACTCTGGTGGGCGCATGGCTGGACAACTCCAACACAGAACTTGCACTGGAATTCTTTCGGGTTCAACCTGCTTAACTTGGGCAAATACTAGTTGTAGTTGACCCGTGTCATCGTGACATTTGGTCTTGAAGTACCCCAAGACCTAATTCTATCAATGTTGCCTCCTCTATGACGCTCCCAACAATCACGGAAGCTATTCGGGCGTTGGAAGACTTTGCGGTACTGGTCCGTACTGGTTTAGATTGTTTGTAGCATCGCTTCAGTATTGCTTTGTGCTCGCACAGGATTTCTGAGGCGTCAAGACACAACTGTTCTGTATTTCCTGCCCCCTTTGTGCTTTCAGGATGGGGAATGATGTTGGGAACACGTTCCCGCCCGCCATTTAGGGGAGGGCAGGTACTCCAACTCGTCGCTGGCCCCCGATTCCTTTGATTGTTTTTGCTTCTTTGATACGAGGTGTTGTGTGTCTCATTTGCGTGTGTAGTCTACGTGCTAAATCGTCCCATGCTGGTTGACTTATAAAGTCATGGACTTTGCCACAAGATGGTTGATCTCACCACTCATCCACTTGAGGCCAGTGAACAATTGCCTTTGGCGAGCTCCCTTGGGGTAGAACGGGGTGATAAGGGGTGCCTTACTTCAGGCTTTGGGAATTCCAACAGCAGTTCAATATTTAGCATCATGAGGAGTGTGCCTCTATTTGTCTACTTGTTTGCTTCTTTGGTTGGTTGGGTGGTTGTTTGGTCATTACTTCCGAGGCAAACAGAAGGAAGCTCGGCGTGTCGGCGCTTGCCGCTTCGAGGATCATTAACACTTCCTTCCAGCACTACCTTCACCATGCGGAGGGTGCCGTTGGCAAGCCCCGCCACACGGGCTTCTTCATCAAGGCTCAGCTTGCTTCAGCCTGCGTCAGCTCCCGGATTACCTGTTTTGGGCTTCGTTGAAAGGAGCATTGCAGGAGCGCCACACATTTTTGGGGTGCCCCCAAATAGGGCGGGTGTGTTTTTGAAAGGGACCCCCCAAGAAAAAAGAGAAAAAGCAAAAAACCAAAGGCAAATGTTGGAAAGGTGGTTTTCCTTTTGGTTTCCCTTTGCAACTTTTATACACCCACCAAACAAGGGGCACAGGTCGAGGGGTGTTGAAAAGTTGGAGACCCCTAGTTGTTGGAATACGGAACCAGCGTTGGTGCTCAAACATAGGGGGTCCCCTGCTGGTTGTTTAAGGGAAGCCAGCAAGAAGCTAAGCAGTTTGTTTTGGGTTCTCCTTTTTTTAAGAGCACCGAATTGGCAGTGGGTCAAAAATACGTACCCCAAATAGGAACCCTGGTAAATGGACACATGGATTAAACCTGTGGTCCCATGGTGGTTTAATTTTGACCCATACCCATTTGTAGACACGGCGGTTTTGGCAACGAACAATTGACGCACCACCAAGGATCGCATGTCCAGGAGCAGAATCTCAACTGTCCAGAGCGAACTGACGTGACTTTCCCGTGCACGTTGCACCACAGTCCGAAAGGTTACTTGGTGGTTCTGTTTTTTAGGGTTTAGTGATAGTTTCCACTAAACCACGAAAAGAGGTTAACTTTAGCAGGGGATCTGAGGACTGCCAGAGTTCTTTGTTGTTGTTGGCGATTGACAGTAATGAGGGCATAGATGAATATACACGTATAAACACACCTATACATTTGTTTGTTGTTTGGCCGCTAGTCGGCGTGTTTCATTTTGCCCGCCAAAACCGTGTGCGTTCAGCTCGTGTGTCAGATCTGGGACCAAATGGTGGGCGGCGACAGCACGGCTCACATGCTGGCGAGTGGGAAGCGCTTTGCTTAGATCCTGATTGGGAGCCAGCCCTGGGAAGATTGGAGCTGGTTGTTGGCCGCATCTGTTTGCTGCAATAGTCACTATTTGGCTGGTTTTGGCTCCCTTTTGCTATGACTCTATGAGTATTAATTTGATTAAGAATCAAGAAGCACGGTCAGGGTGACGTGTTTTTTGCGCGGAAGCGCCTGGTGACAGAAAAACAACCGACGCTTATCTTCTTGATTCAGAGCAGCCAGGGGCTTCACCAGGCACGAGTGAAGTCACTGGTGACTGATAGTCATAGTCAATACACATGTTGACGGAAAGCACGTGGCATGCGAGGGAGGGGTCGAAGGGCGGACACCCAGGAGATGAACCACCAAAACTTACTTCCTTTGGTGTTTCGGGTGGGGATGGTGGCTTGGCTTTGGGAACCAACAAGTTTCAACGTTTCGTGTTGTTTATCTTGAGGGTACGTCTTTTGATTGGTTTTAAAGGGGGGCCTAAAGGACAACCGCCATTTCTTTTGCTTTTTGGGGTTACCCTAAAAAAGAGGCACCCTTTAAGGTGGCCCATAGTGAGTCCAATCCGAAGCTGAGGTGCTCTTGCTCCAAGTGCAGCCGCGAGCGCGGCGAGCGCAGTTCTGTCCTTGGCTCTTCAGAACTATTGATGGTTCTAGCGGTTGATTCCCCATTCTTTTCAGCCATCGTTCTTTTCGAAAACCGGCCGTTTCCCTGGGTTTCCGAATTTTTCCAAAAAGAAGGATCCCTGGAAAGAATGGGGAAGGTAGCACTAGAATGGTAGAAAGTGAAGGGTGAACCCCCTCTGATCAAAGACGCCCGATTTTTTCCCAGCCGAGCGCCAGCCAAGTTTCAGGGGACTCCCAAACTCCGGCTTTGCCAAACCTTGTCGACCTTGCGGGGGGGAATCTGTTACTAAAAGAAGTTCCAGCAGTTTATGGGTGTGGCTCAAAATCAAACAGCTGAACCTCTTTGTTTCCATCCAAGGGCAAACCTCTTTGTTTCGAGAAAAACCAAGGTGCCATTTTGGGTACCTTATTTTTTTTTGGGCAGACTAAATATGAAAAACGATACAACATATTATTTCATTCGTCCGCCGTCGTCAAGAAACCACCAAGAAACCATACACTTTGACCTTGTTTTGACAAATGCCTTGGAGTCACAGCAATGTTGTTTGACATATGACCCGTCCGCAGCGCTGGGCTGTTTCCCCTGAAAGCTTCAAGCGCGAAAACTGGGGTGTGAGAGGAACCAAGCAGTGCCACGGAGTCAAGGGAAGCGATGGCAACCAACGTTCTGATTCTTTTTTGGGGGGCCATCAGGTTGGCGCCCAAAACAAATAAAAGACATGTACGGCTTGATAGTTGGGCTTCCAACATTGGCGGTTTGACGTGGACACGTCAAAGGAAGAGCCACCCCTGATTTTAGGGGTCCCGGATTTTCCTTGGTCGGTTCCAAGTACCTTGGACTTGAAGCTTCACATATCCCGCCAGTTGCGAGCTACTGCAAGCTTCTCACTTTTCAGGGATCAACGAGGCAAGCAGAGTTTGCGCCGTGGTTTCCCTGTAAACCCTAAAGAAAGGGTAGCCTCAAAGCAACCATTCTGACATGCTCAGGTCTCGAAGCCTTCAAGAAGGCGCCAGAGATTTCGGGGGATTTGTCGGAGCTTTGGGTTCCCCAAATGGGCCCTCCTCCCACCCCGCAAAACAAAAATGGGGCATCTCCAGGATACATAAGCCATCCCTTTTATAGGGCTGGGCTCGATTTGTCCATCGGAACTTGGTGGGTTGGGTGTGTTGGCATGCTGCGCCTGTGACAGTTGATGTCTTTGTCCGCTTGCTGTTCGCTCGCTTGCCTTACTATTTCTTTTTGCAGACCAGGTGGCGATTGGGGTGATTTTCAATTGGGAACGCCTGGAGATCAGGTACATGCATCTAAACTATGCATAGATCCCCATTTTGCCCATGGTCAACTCCTAGCAAATGAAATGATCAAAATGACCAGCCTGTTGTGCCTTTTTGGGGGGTCCCCCAAACATGGTGGTTTACCTTTTGGCTTCCCTCTTGAAACCAAAAACGGTTGGTACCCTCCAAATAAGTTTGCATCTTTTAAATTTGGAGGATGTGATGGTCATTTACTCAGTCTTCCATGTGCGTGTTCGGTCCCACACACAAAATGACAGCAGAACCCGTCGTGGCATACATCCAAATGGGTGTGGCTCAAAATTAACCGGGAGGGGCAAACCGCAGGTTTTGGTCCATTCCACTTACCAGGGTTCCATTTTCAGGGCTCCTTAAAAGATACATGTTGCCCATTTGAAACATGGCTTCCACCAAAATAAAGTTGGAAACCACCATTTGCAAGTTGCAATGTTCAGGTGAATGTAAGGATCCCTGATTTTGGACTTCCGTTTTTTTGAGCCACAGCCACATGGCTGTTTCCAGGTGGAGAAGGTGGACTACTCCTGCCTTCTGACTCCCGGCTTTTGGCTCCAGGCCTTTGCTTAGGCCCGGTCGAGCAGTCGGCTTCCCAGGAAGAAATGCCCCAAACCTCCGGTTTGGAGGGGGTTCCCTTTCCCAGAGGTAGTATATACTCGCATTTGCCCTGAGAATGGGTCAAATGTTGGTATATATTACGTGCATGGATTGTTTGGGTTTAAGTATCAGGTCATCTTTGATTGGTGGTCTGGATTTTTTTTTGGCTTGGGGATTTGAACGGGTCCTGGTTCTTGACCCGATGTTGGTCCCATAGGAATCCCCCAGCTCGAAAATCTTTGGCCAGGACGCCTGCGCATGGCAAAAGCACTTGCGCTCTGAATGAGATCGCACGGCCGCGGTTGAAGCCTTTTGGCCGGACGTCCCGGTCAGCCGCCAAAAGCGACGTGCCAAAAGTCATTGCCAGACCGGACAAAGCAGATTCTTCTTTGTTTGCTTGTTTTGTTGTTCCAGTGTGTGTCCTTCATGTTCCATTTTTATCAGCCAGGGAACCTTTTTGCGGGGCTCGAAGTCCGCCAAGGTCTGAAGCCAGCCAGTCGCCTCATAAAATGGGGGTGGCTGGATCCGATGGTTTCTGGTGGAGGAACCAAAAAAAAGGCGCCCGCGTGCACAGGGGCAAAGGATGGTCCGTTCCTAGCCCCCGGAATCAGTGGCCGTTTGGTGTTTGGCAGATGTTTCGAGTACGGAAGCAGTATTTAATACACCCGACACGGGCGGCTCGTTTTTTTTTGAGGTTCCAACCTGAGAAAAGACACCCAAACATCGTTCTAACCACCTTGGTAGAAGCCCACGTTGCTGGGTTTCAGGCGCTGCTCTGATAGGCATTCCTGTCAATGGAGTGGGGTTTGACCTTCGATGAGCCGTGATTCATGCCAGATGTCTCTACACGCGCCGCTCCGTCCCAGAATTCGATTGCAGGGAGCGTGTTTTCCATCACAGGAAGCACCGCATGATTTCCCAATGAAGTAAAGCGCAACAGCAGGTCATGCGCTTTCACTTATCAGGGCGAGCTCGCCCGATGAAGATTCCCTAGGGAGAGCAGCATTCGAAGAAGGTTACCACTGATCATTTTTGTGACGACTAATTAGCTATTGTTGAAGGTGGCCCTCAACAGTTCACCGGAGCCACACGCAGAAGATAAGAGAACAACAGTACGACACAACTTCCAAGATGTGGCGAAGATCAAGCATGAGATCTCGCGGCATGCAGCGCGAAGGATCGGGCCGTCGGGCCGCCACGCATCGCACGAATCGATTTTTGTTCTTTGGCGATGGGTAAAATTGAGCAATGCAGGTCCCTTTACTTCAGATTGTGGAGCTATTTGCAGAACCCATGGTGTGTTTTGTTAGTTGGGAATTATGGTTTTCCTTGTGCTTTCCCTTCAAAACCCACCTTTTAAGGGGTACCCTTAAAAGACGCCCACGCGCGGGTTTTGAGTTTGCCGGACCGGGTCAAAAGTGCAGTTCCCCAGACTCGAAGTCTTTGTTTTTTTGCGAGCTCCGTGCGTGAGAACGTGAAAGTTGATGGCAGAGTTAGTTAATCGCTTCTATCTGAGTGTTTCTCTTAATGTTAACCCCGCATCTATAAACCCCTGGTTGATGCACGGGGGGTCGTCCCCTTTTAGTGGGGATTCAGACCACTTTTGGAGGGAACACCCTTGTTAATCTGGGTCAACATGAAAACGGTAGCACCCCCCCTTTTCAGAGAGACCACGGGACCCGTGAGATGAGATTGATTTAAAGCGGAGCAAAAGGAAGCGAGGAATTGAGAGGGCCCTTTGACACCCGAGGCACGCCTTGAGTCGCCATGATTCAGGCGGGATGTGCGGGACGTGCTTTGACTCGCCCATGGTCGCCGATCGCTTCGCGCTTCGCGCCTTGCGCCGTGAGCTGCGAGCGGCGATAGGCAAACAAGGCCACCGTGGTGACCGAGTTCCACAAGCAGGCGCTGGAGGCGACGACCTTTCAAAGATGGATGAAGACCCTGAAAGGATGATTGACATATGGCTGTGGGTCAAAACCAATGGTACCATTTTGGGTAGGCACACCACCCATTTTAGTTGGATTGGGATGTTCACTGGGGGTACCAGATTTTGACCCATGGCCATGAATCCCCAAATGTCCATCAAAGGGTTCCCAAGTGTAAAAAACATAATCTGAGGAATGGTGAATATGTCATCCACTGTGGAGGGGATGATACGGGGCGCACGAGCCCCTTTTCTGCCCCGTTCGGAAATGGATTTGGGTGACACGGACCATGTTTATTCCCCGTGGAACCCTGGGAAATACAGTAAGTATATATATATATATAGATTTGAGATTTTGCACATACTTGCATTATGAAAGACCGCGGCGAACATCTCTACGCTAAACGGGTTCCAGCTTGCACCAAAGGACAACATGTGCGATCATGCGTGTAACATCCAAAGGAACCCATTTGTCAGAGACCATTGCACGGGTCACCAAAATAGGGTGCCTTTTCTTCTCAACGAAAATTCACTGGAGGCGCCGGTCCCATTTAACCAAACGGTTGTAGCCATTTCCCACCAGGCCGATTTTGAACTATTTTCCCGCGTGCCAGTTTTGCTCGGGTCAAGAACCGCAAGGCCAACCATGAAATTGGGAAGTGGGCAACCTCTGAGCTCCGATCGGACCCCCGGTAGCAGCTTCCCTCCAGTTGGTTTATGTGGGTGTGGATCAAAATTAAACCACCAGGCGACCGGCGACCACAGGTTTTAGTCATTGTTTCCATTTACCAGCGTGCCATGTTGGGTACCTATTTTTGACCCACAGCCGTGTGGATTTGGGTAGAATGGGATCCCATCGCAGGTCCGCAACATGGAGCTGGAGTACTACCTCTTAGTCTTTGACAAGATCTCGTGGTTCTGGCGTCCATTGGAATCAGCTCCGTCGAACAGTGTCCGTGAGAAGCTGTTTTAGGTCATGTCAAAAAGCTGGGGATCGGATTCCAATGACGAGTTTTCCATTTGTTGACAAAGCAACCAAACACTACCATGACAGGTTTCTACCGAACCCCATTAATTTCCCCGAAAGTGGTGGTTTGACCTTGGTTTTGTCAGTCTCAAACTTTCCTGGCTCTTTGGCCTTGTTGCCTTGTTCACTCAAGGCCATGTAAGCCAAAGAGGGCTTAGGGAACTATGCCATGCTTTGTGTGTCAAAAAACACACCCAAATGCCGCAACTCCTTTGGAGACACCCACATGGGGGCGAAACATGGGGTCTACGTGCATCCGGCATCCCGGCCCTAAGGCTCTGAAAAACCCGAGCTCTGTCGCCTGAAACACCTGCGCAAAAGCTTCAGCCAACAGGACACTCTGAAGAACATGGACTCTGCATTCTGCCACTGATTCTGACCAAGCGCAAATCTCACGAGAAGCATAGTTCGTCCATCCACCCTGCGAAGCCAAAGCCTTTTGGGTAGATTGCCTGTGGACCTTTGGAGAGTATGGCAGAAGCAAAAACCAGTTGGTCAACTTGTAGGTGTCCCAAACCAGCTTGGATTTTTGGCCGGCGTTCCTTACCAACTTGATGCCTGAAGATCTGGTCTCCTGGTCACGAGGCTCCACTCGATCTGAATCGCCGCCACCTGCAAGCCGAACTGCCGAGTCCAGCCAGTGCTGAAGATGACAAGAACTACCTACTAGGTCCTCCAGTAGAGAGATTGGAATAAGGGTACCTTTCTTTTTTAAATAGTCTATTTTGGTAGGGGGAACCCTCCCCCAAAAACAGGTAAAAGGGCACTACTGGGGGACCCAGGCTACATAGGTGTTGGGAGTTGCATGAGCGGCTCGGTATACACGTTGATGCGCATTGAGGAAAATTCCAAAGGATATCACTCGTCTGTGCCCACGCCCTTGGGCTGCAAGACCGAGCTCTTTTTCAAAACATCTGCGAAGTGAGCAACTTGTGATGCCGACATGGCGAGTACCCGAAGGGTGCAGGAAGCAAGAAATGATGCACCTGCTACGGAATTTAGCTGGCCATAAATCAAAAGCCAAATTGTATCCCCAGTGAACATCCCAATCCCCACTAAAATTGACTCTGTGGGTGGTGAATTCACCTACCCCAAAATGGTACCCTTTTTTTGGACCCACAGCCAGCTTCGTAAGCAGGCTTCAGGAAGTGGGATCAAGCCCTGAAGCGGGCCTCGACCTCCCACCCCCCACCTCCCACCTCCCACCCCCCACAGCCCACCTCCCACCCCACACCCCAGCCCCACCCGGCCTGAGGGTGTCTGTCTTTTTTTAGGGACCCCCGCGACCACCAAACGGTTTTCTGTGGTGGTTTTTCCCGAAAGCATCGCGAAGGGTTCTTCCGTGCGGAGCCCTTGGACAAGTTACATAGAGCCAAGTTACATAGAGCCAAGTTACATAGAGCCAAGTTACATAGAGCCAAGTTACATAGAGCCAAGTTACATAGAGCCAAGTTACATAGCCAAGTTACATAGAGCCAAGTTACATAGAGCCAAGTTACATAGAGCCAAGTTACATAGAGCCAAGTTACATAGAGCCAAGTTACATAGAGCCAAGTTACATAGAGCCAAGTTACATAGAGCCAAGTTACATAGAGCCAAGTTACATAGAGCCAAGTTACATAGAGCCAAGTTACATAGAGCCAAGTTACATAGAGCCAAGTTACATAGAGCCAAGTTACATAGAGCCAAGTTACATAGAGCCAAGTTACATAGAGCCAAGTTACATAGAGCCAAGTTACATAGAGCCAAGTTACATAGAGCCAAGTTACATAGAGCCAAGTTACATAGAGCCAAGTTACATAGAGCCAAGTTACATAGAGCCAAGTTACATAGAGCCAAGTTACATAGAGCCAAGTTACATAGAGCCAAGTTACATAGAGCCAAGTTACATAGAGCCAAGTTACATAGAGCCAAGAGCCAAGTTACATAGAGCCAAGTTACATAGAGCCAAGGTTAGGTAGAGCTTAGAGCTTCGGCGTTAGCAGCTATGTAAGTTAGTTTAGGTTTCTAAGGCGCCGGGGCGGGAGTTTGATCGTCGCTCGGGATTGCGACCCTCTGCGGAGATTCGCGTGGTCGAGGTTCAAAAACTGGGGACTTTTTGAGATTTTTAGCATGCGCGCGCGACCCTCTGCGGAGATTCGCGTGGTCGAGGTTCAATAAGTTGCATCCCACGCCGGTCCCCTCTGCAGGAGCTGGGACGGGAGGCAGAGGGTCGGCGGATTAGTTGGGTAATGGGGGGGGTGTCCCTGGGTTTAGTGGGGAATCATGTCTTTTGGAGGAGAACACCCCCTACAAATAATCAGGGGTTGATGAATATGGGTCAACATTCGTCGACTTGCCTTTGGCAACTTTGGGTCGCATTTGAGATGCGGCTAGGACCATCTCGGCGCTGCTGGCGGGATTCGCTTCCACCGCCGTGCA